GTACAGAGGTTCCCACAGGCACTAGAAGGTCATCGGGGCCCCATGACTCCCCTCCCCGGGGCTTTGCATGGGGTTGGTCATACAGAGCTTGAGACAATGAAGTCCCTTCATCGGTCTCCTCGCCCCCTCCTTCCTTCCCCCAACCATGGCTTTGTAGATCCCCAAGGCTGGGTGGGGCTGGGAGGGGGTGAATGTCTGGGGTGCCACTGATATGTAGCAAAGGGATCCCAAGCCACTCACGGGGTATGGGGTAGACACTGCGGTCATCCCCCCTCCTTGTGATGCAGCCACTTCTAGATAGGAGCACAGCGGGCAGAGACTGTGTCTTCCATTTCTTCTGTGCTCCCCACAGCACTTAGCATGGTGCTGGGTACACACTAGGTGCTTAACAAATATTTTTTGATGAATTGAGAGAGGAATATGGGCAATTGTAAGGTACTGGTGGATAAATTCACATTCTATATGTATTATCTATATCTAGGCTAATGGTCTCCAAGGCCCCAGTTTCAACCCAGGTAAAAGACCAAAAAAAATTTAATCTGCTCATTCACTGTTGCATTAAATGGGATGGGAGCTCCCATAGGAAGCTAGGTTTCAAGGGCCTTGAATCAGGAAAGCCAGAGGTCGAGGGGGCAGGGCACGACCAAGTCCACAAAAATGATAGATAGATGCACTCAGCTTTACTTCGTTCCTCGTTTTCAAGGACAGGTGTATAAATTAAAGGACAAAAACCAGACCTGTCCAAACTTTTTTTTTGGTTTTTTCGAGACAGGGTTTCTCTGTGGTTTTGGAGCCTGTCTTGGAACTAGTTCTTGTAGACCAGGCTGGTCTTGAACTCACAGAGATTCGTCAGCCTCTGCCTCCCAAGTGCTGGGATTAAAGGCGTGCGCCACAACCACCCGACCCTGTCCAAACTTTTGACAATGTGACAAAGCTCAAGCTTAAATACCATAAAACCAAGTTTTTTTTAAAAAATAAATAAACAAACAAACAAGGGGTGGAATTGGGAGGAGGGGAGGGAGGAGAAACTTTGGTCGGGATGCATAAATAAATAAACAAACAAACAAAACAAAACAACAAAAATACCCCATCACCAGGGAAACAAAACCACATTCTGCTTTAAATACGTTTATGATTGCGTGCTGAGGCCACATTCGTAACTATCATTGGAAGCATGTGGCCTGTGGGCCACCTGTTGCACTAAATGGAATCCATTCTTCCAAATATTTGAGGATTAAAGCTGAAACAGCTGAACGAGTGGGGCCAGCATGGTGGCTCATGCCTGTCAGCTCAGTCCCAGGGGTTAGCTGGTAATGGCGGGAAGCGGAGCTGAAGCAGATCAAAATGTAAAGCCCGTCGTGGCTACACAGTGAGACGATCTCAAAACAAAACAGCAGAGACAAAAAAATAAAATGAAACAGCTGCTGGGTACAGAATGGACGGAGTTCCTTTTGGGGATAAGAGATACACTAGATAGCTAAATCTATTTAGGGACAGTCTAAAACTGTGGTTGGTATCAGGGCAGCTCCCTCTCTGGTGCTGGCACTTGAGAGAACACTGTGATAAAGGGCCATAGTTAGGCCAAGAAAAGAGTTTTGCTCCTGGTTGTGGGCAAGGGTGGGCTGGATAGAACCTGGCAAGCCTCCATACCATCTCAGCGAAGATGCAGCCCAGGCTCCAGATGTCCACAGCTGTGGAGTAGTACTTGCAGCCTAGAAGGATTTCAGGTGCTCGGTACCACAGGGTCACCACCTGGGGAGCAAGGGAACAATATGGTCACAGACCTCGCTCCACAAAACCCTGCTACCTTCCAGCTGCTCTTTTTTAAAAGGATTTTTTTTTAACTTTAGTAATGTGTATATAACCAGGCGGTGGTGGTGCACACCTTTAATCCCAGTACTCAGGAGGCAAAGGCAGGTGGATCTCTCTGAGACATTTAAATGGTATGCCAACAAGCTTTCCTGGCTTAATATCTTAGTCCAGGTAACCTCGAAGTATGAATTTAGCGCATATCCTAAAACCCTTTGGTTAAGGGCTAGAAAGATGGCTCAGCAGTTAAGAGTACTTGTTTTTGCAGAGGACCCAGGTTCAATTCCCAGCACCCATATGGCAGCTCACAACAATCTATAACTATAGTTCCAGGGGACCAGACACTTTCTTCTGGTCTCTGTGAGCACTGGGCAGGCATGCAGTACAGACACACATGCAAGCAAAACTCATACACTTTAAATATATAAGTGAAGCTCTTTGGGTTGTCAGATTCCATTACCCAGGAACTCCCATCCTGGGATTTTGCTAATCTGTGAATGCTGTTAGAAGCATCTTCCAAGATCCTTAAAGAAGAAAACCGTGGAAGGACTCACCTCATGAGTGTAAGTACGAACAGGGACTCCAAAGGCTCTTGCTAGTCCAAAGTCAGCCAACTTGATGGACCCCTCTGCATTGATAAGCAGGTTCTGGGGCTTGAGGTCTCGGTGCAGGACCCGGTGAGAATGGCAGAATGCTAGGCCCTGGAGCAGCTGGAATAGATAGCTCTGACAAAGGAGAGAGGGAGGTTTGTTCAGTCACCATGGTGAACAGATACAACTTGCTCTTTGCCCTCCAGATGCAACAAAGCCTTAACTTCGATGATAATGTCACTATGTATTTGGGGGAGTTTATTTAATTACATTTTTACTGATTTATTTATGGGGGGAACACGCCATCGTGCATACGAGGAAGTCAAAGAACAACTTGCAAGAGTTGGTTTTCTTGCACCATGTGGGACCTGGGAATAGAGTTCAGGTCGTCAGACTTGGAGGCAGGCACCTTTACCTGCTGAGATATCTTGTCGGCCCTGTTTGTTTTTTAAGTGTCTTCCTGGCCTGGAACTGTGTAGCCTAGGCTGTCCTTGTACTTACAGACATCCTCCTGCCCCAGCCTCCTGAGTGTCAGAATTATAAGCAGGAGCCAACACACATAACTACAATATAACCACACTTAATAGCTATTTCTTTCATTAGATTTTCAGTCTGTCAAGGATAAAAACCAGATTACTCACTTTTTGCATCCCTTTCAACTCTGTGCCTAGCACATTGAAGGTGTTAAATAACTATGTGCTGAATGAATATGTACCTGCTGATACATCCATTAGTTCCAGCAGCCAATCAGCTCTGGTTATTTCTCCCACATCATAGGTGGATTTTTTTTTTTTTTTTTTGAGACAGGCTTTTACTGTGTATCACAGAGATCCATCTGCCTCTGCCTCCAGAGTGCTGGGATTAAAAAAAATGTGTGCCATCTCCGTCCTGCTGGGAAATATTTTTGGAGGAACCCACCAACCACCCTCAATCCCATTATCTGAGTGTTATCAGATCTGCCTGAGCTACTAGGTTGGCTCCAAGGAGCTCAATTTTGATTCTTCTGTCCGTCCTACGGTTGATGACTAAAATGAACAGGAAAAGCAACACAAATCATCACCAGTCAGAATCACCTGCCTTTAGCTTCCCCTAGAATATGTGAGCTGGGGTGGGAGAGGTTTACCTTGATGAGGGGGAGAGGAATGCCAGTAAGAGCAGAGGCATCCATAAACTTCTTGAGGTCCTGGTGCAGAAACTCAAAAACCAGGTAAAGCTTATTCTCTGTGTGGATGACATCCAGCAGCCTGTAAGAGAAGGTCCAGGAGTTGAGAGAGTAAACAAACAGAACCCATCTTGGTGATCATCTCCCAGACTACACTTACTTGACAATATTAGGGTGGTTAAGTTCCTTGAGTAGAGAGATCTCTCGGATGGCAGTACTGGGTACACCTTCAGTCTCACTTGGAGAGGTTGGGAAAACAGAGGTGAGAATATGGTTACAAACATTGCTCTCTCGGGGAGACACCATCCCCCAAACCCCTTAGGAAGTCAGAAAGGAAAGGTACTATCAGGAGTTAATTCCTGGGTAGTCAGGGTGTGGCTTTTAGACATATTTAAAGTCATTGTTTCCTCTTTTTCCAGTGGAAGGTAAGGAGAACCTCCAGGTGAATGTGAAGCAGAGGAAAGGTTATGGGGGGGGGGGCGTTGAGAGTAGCTCCCAGCCTCCCTAGAGGCCAGTGAGTCTCAACTGCCATTCTTTTGAAAGAGGGGCAGGGTTCTACGTACGGGGCTGGAGCAGTGAGAGGAGCTCTCCATTCAGAAAGGAGCTATTCTCTCGTTCCCACCTACTCCAACTCTATGAACACTCTTGGACGTTGCCACGGCCCCCAGCCCCCAGCCCCCCACTTTCTCTTCCCAAGTCTCTCCGCTTACAGATTTGGGAGCACACCGGGTGAAGCGCACCCGAGAAGAAAGTTTTCTCTGAATTCCAGCCCCCGACAGTCTCCTCGGAGAGAGCGCCTACCGTCCGCCGACCCACCCCTCACTTGAGTGCCTCCCCGCCACCTTCCGGTCCCGCCGGGTATCCGCCTGTTGGGGTAGGGGGTTGGGGGGGGGGCGACAGTCGAGAGGTCGCGGGAAAGGAGTTCCGGCTCCGGAGGCCACTCACGTGTCGAGCCGGATTTTCTTAAGGGCCACCACTTCTCCCGTCAACTTGTTCTTGGCTTTGTACACCACTCCGTACGTGCCCTCTCCGATCTTCTCCACCTTTTGGAAGTTCTCCATGGAGCGCTAGCGAGGCGGCTCAGGCTCCCGGGAGCGGGGCCCGGGAACCCTGAAGAAAGCGGGCCCGACACTCGGGGCGGAGGACCTGGGGGGCCAAGGTGAGCACTGCAACCCCAGCTCGGGATGGAACGCAAGGAAAGCTCAGCCCTTGACAATTTGTCCAACTTGAAACAATGTTGCCGCCTCCCCCACCTCTCCAGAAGGCCAACCGAGGCCCCGCCCCTCCTTCCCGCGTTTCCCTGGCTCCGCCTTCCAGCCTTCGGATTGGCTGACGTCATGAGAGTGGGCGGGACCCCGCGCTCCGGCCGCGGCTTCCCCGCCGTGGGCGGGCGAGCTGAGGGCGGGCCGCGCAACTTTCTCCAGTTCCTGGTTCGGGCTCCGCCGGCCGGAACTGGTGTGGTTTCTGGTCTTCGGATTTCACATTCCACCTGGTCAAGAGAGCCTCCTTTGAAAAGCAGAAACTTGGGAATCTTTTAAAAAATATATATAAATATTTTTTAAAATATTTATTTATTTATTTATTATGTATACAATATTCTGTCTGTGTATATGTCTGCAGGCCAGAAGAGGACACCAGACCTCATTACAGATGGTTGTGAGCCACCGTGTGGTTGCCGGGAATTGAACTCAGGACCTTTGGAAGAGCAGTCAGTGCTCTTAACCACTGAGCCATCTCTCCAGCCCCCATAAATAATTTATATATTATATGTTAGTATGTTTATATTATATTTTTTTCAATTATGTGTATGTGTGTTGGCTTTCACAGAAACAGCAGATCGTCCGGAGCTGAAGATATAGGCTGTTATGAGGTGTCAGGCTTGGGAGCTGGGGCAAACTCTGATCTTCTGCAAGAGCAGCATATGCTTTTAACTGCTGAGCTGTCTCTCCTGCTCTCCCATCCCTTTTTTGAACAGTTCCTCTTAATGCAACCCTGACCAGCTGGAATGCGTTTAAAAAATAAAAATTCAGGTTGACTTCGAACTCTCAGAGATCCCTCTGGCTTGGCCTCCTGCATCATGCGGTTCAGAAAGTCAGGGCTCTTACTGTAAAGGATTTTTAGGCTAGGTAACAAAGTCGTTGTAGCTTAATCCCGGCTCACTGTTTTAGTGATTCGTGGTTCGTTGATTGGTTTTGTTGAATCACTGCTGGAAATCTACACTCCCAGCCCCTTTGGACCGATTTTGGATAAAGCAGTTTCTGTCTTAAGGGATTTGACTCAATTCATGGCTTCACTCTCTCTTGCTGAATTGTAACTGATGTCTGTGGATTGTGGCTGCCCACCAGTCAACTGTTTCCAGAGTGATAGTGTGTCTTGACGAATGTGACCCCAGTAAAGCAGAAAACCTGCCCTGGACCTCCGGGGGCTGAAATCAGGAGGAAGGGCTATGCAAATGAGCATCCCTTCCTATAAAGGGCTCCTTCCCACCACCCTGGCACCTTTGGCTGCTGAAGGGAAGAACAGGATGGATGTGCCAAGGTGCTGCCTCCCTCTGTTGGTGCTGAGTGCTGTGCTGGCTGTGGGGGCCATAGAAGGTGAGTGTGCAAGTGTGAGCAAGAGCAAGTGCCATTAGCAGTTGGACACCTGCTCCGGGTTTCCCCTTCACACGAGACATCAAAATATTTCAGGCTTGTCCTATTCGATTTAGTGAGGACATAGTTTCGTTTGCTTTCATTTGTTCAAGGATGGCCTTGAACTCCTGAACCTCAGGCTTCTACCTCCTAAGTACTAGGATTCCGAATGTAATCAGTTGTAACAAATAGTGAAGTTTAGGATTGGGCATGAAAGTATTCCTATCTGACGCAAGGGGCAAAAGGCACTGCAGTGATTCTGAGGCCTTGGAGGACAGTCAGCTGAAACAGAGCCTCCAAAGAGTAAAACTGCGTGGGCGATCCTGTGGGTAAGAGCTTGTGATAGGAGATTTAAGGTGGACAGAAAGAATATGGTATTCAATAAGACCAAGCTGATACCACCTTCTGCACTTGGGTTGGGTATGGCTGAATACAGGCCAGGCCTTATGTTCTGGGAGGGCTGAGCAGAAGGGTCTCAGCTGAGCATCACATGAAAGGACTCTGGGGGATTGAGGCCTCGTGATAGGAGCAAGGGGAGGGAGGAAAGGGTGGTGAGAGGGTCTGGAATGTCGCGTGCTGCTGAGGAGGGAGGGTGGGCAGTCAGAAAAGAATGGCGCATCTTATGATTGCTCTTGCTTCAGTGCTCGAACACTCTCTGAGATGACCACAGACCACCCCCCAGCAGAATCTCTGGCTTCGCCATGGGCGTTAGAATCAGGATAAGGACAGTTTCTGCTCTGTTAGAGGATTCCCATCATATCACAGCGCCTTTCTCTCTCTGGATCCTTGGCCTCACCAGCTTCTAGAAATTTCCTCACTCTGGCGTCTTCATATGTCCTGCAATTTCCAGGCTTTTTATTAATTTTTTGTTGTTCTTTTCATCTTTTCATTCCTTTTCTAAGATGGGGAGTCTCTTGTATCCCAGACTGGCCTTAGACTTACTATGTAGTAGATCTTTTTGCTTCTACTTTCTGGGGGACGGAATCACAGAGAGGCGTGTGCTACCAGGTTTTTTTTTTTTTCTTTTTCTAAGTTTCTTAATGTATTTTTTGAAATGTTCTGTTCATACCCACACATCTGAGCCTCTTACGATACTGTGCTTACATTTTGAAGACTGACTTTAGTTATTATTTTTTTCTACCATGTGAGTCTGGAGATCAAACTCAGGTTGTTGGGCTAGGCAGAAAGTATCATTGCCAAATAAGCCATCTCACTTGCCTGAGATTTTCTTCTGAACACATATTTTAGACAAGAACAACTAATGAGGATAAAGCAAATTTATCAAAATGTTGCTAGTCATTGAGTTTGGATGAAGGGATGTCGAAGCCCATTATATTTCTTTCTCCTCTTGTCAGATCTATATGTTTTAGTTCTGGTCTCCCAGTGTAACCCTGACTGGCCTGGTACGTGCTGTGTAGACCAGGCTAGCCTCCTACTTTGCAGTGATCTTCCTGCCTCTGTCTTCTGAGTGTTGAGATTACAAACGTGAGACACTGTACCCAATTCAATTATAATAGTTATGTCTGCTTTGTCCCCTCCTCCAACCTGTGCCTAGGTCTACTCATTCCTCTTCTTCTTTTCTTCCTTCTTTTTTCTGTTGAGACACGGTTGTGTAGACCAGCTAGTTTGGAACTTACTACCTATTAGCTGATCTCAACCTCATGGCGAGCCTTTGGCCAAAGACTCCTGAGTCCTGACTGAAATTACGTTTGTGAACCACCATATCCTGATGTTACAGTGGCCTTTCTAAAATACAAATACCACCATGTTAAAAAATTCTCTGAAGGGCTAGAGAGTTAGCTCAGTGGATGTTCTAACTCAGGTTCAATCCCCAGCATCCACATGGCAGCTCATAACTGTTTGTAACTCTAGACCCAAAGAAGCAGATGCCCTCTCTGACTTCAAGGGTCACCAGGCATGCATTTGGTGGACAGACGTACATGCAGGCAAGTCACTCACACAAGAAAACAATTACACACACACACACACACACACATTATATATATACAATTTAGTTTTTTTTTTAAAGATTTATTTATTATATATTTAGCATTCCTCCCATGTATACCTGCAGGCCAGAAGAGGGCACCAGATCTCATTACAGATGGTTGTAAGCCACCATGTGGTTGCTGGGAGTTGAACTCAGGACCTCTGGAAGAGCAGTCAATGCTCTTAACCACTGAGCCATCTCTCCAGCCCTACAATTTAGTTTTTTGAGACAGGGTTTCTCTGTGTGGCCTTGACTGTCCTGAAACTAGCCTTGTAGATCATGCTGGCTTTGAACTCACAGAGATTTGCCTCCTTCTACCTCCTGAGTGTTCGGATTAAAGGCACATGCCACCACTGCCTGGCAAAAATAAATAATCTTTTAAAAAAATCTGAAGCTGGGTGTGGTGGCACAAGACAGAGGCGGGCAGATTTCAGTGAGTTCGAGGCCAGTCAGGTCTACAAAACAAGTTCCAGGACAGCCAGGGCTTCACAGTGAGTTTGAGGTCAACCTGGGTTACACGATACCTTATTTTTAAAAAAGAAACACCAAAAGTAAGTGCTTCCCTAGTGTGCTTATAACCCTGGGCTCAATCTATAGTACTGTAAGTTTTTCAAATTTTAATTAAATTTATGTAACCTCCACACATATCCCAAGGCTTAGTGTGTGTGTGTGTGATTGTATATACGTGAGCACACACATAGAAATAAATCATTTAAATAAAGAAATGAATAAATAAAACGGGTTTTTTTTAATAGAAAAAAACCTTTTGGATATGATGGTGCACACCTTTGACCCCAGCACTCAGGAAGCAGAGACAGGAGGATCTATCTCTATGAGTTCGAGTTCAACCCTGTCTTACAGAGCAAGTTCCAGGATGACCAGAGCTACACAGAGAAACCCTATCTCAAAAAAAAAAAAAAAAAAAAAAAAAAACCACACAAAAAAAATTTGTTTCTGTGTTTTTTTTTTAAGACGGGGTCTCTTTGTATCCTTAGCTGTACTGGAATTGCTCTGTAGATTGGGCCAGCCCCAAACTCTCAGAGATCCACCTGCCTCAGTCTCCCGAGTGCTGGGATTAAAGGTGTGCACCACCATGCCTAGCTAAAAATTTTTAATCAAAGCATTTAGGGAAAAGAGGAGGGCTGAGAATACAGCTCAACGGTAGAGTGCTTACAGGTGTTAGGCCCTGTGCTCGGTCTCAGTGTCGCCCTCCATCCCACCAAATTAACACACAGTGCTTCGAATGTAGTAGTGAGATCACACGGGGCATGTGCCGTCTTCTGAGAAGAGACTAAGGATCCAGGATCTTTACGACACTTCACTTTTAGGATCCAGGGACCAGGACTGGATTGGTGTCCCACGGCAACTTGGAACTAATGCCTGGAACAGGCAGCTGTACCCCGAGTGGACGGAGGTGCAGTGGCCGGACTGCTGGAGAGGTAGGATTTAGATTTCCTTGGAAAGGCCCTGTAGGAATGGGATAGGAGGAGAGTGAGTACTGGGCTAAATATAAGCAGGTTGGCAGAGAGACTTGGAGAGGAGAAGCCAGAGTCCCAGCTAATTCAGCTTTCCTTCCCAGGGGGCCAGGTGTCTCTGGAGGTCAGAAATGACGGGCCTACGCTGGTTGGTGCAAATGCCTCCTTTTCCATTGCCCTGCAGTTCCCTGAGAGTCAAAAGGTACTGCCAGATGGGCAGGTTATCTGGGCCAACAACACCGTCCTCAATGGTAAGTTCCTCTCTCGGTACCTCCTGAACCTTATTCCCGGGGCTCAGATTCCCAGGTATCTCCAGCAAACCCAGGGAAACCCCCTTCCTCCTCCTCCTCCTCCTCCTCCTCCTCCTCCTCCTCCTCCTCCTCCTCCTCCTCCTCCTCTTCTTCTTCTTTTTGGCTTTGCAAGGCAGGGTTTCTCTGTGTAGTCCTGGCTGTCCTGGAACTTCCTCTATAGACCATAGTGGCCTCAGATTCAGAGATCCCCTTGCCTCTGCCTCCCAAGTGCTGGGATTAAAGGTGTGTGCCATCACCACCCAGCTCCTCTTCTATTTTTTAACAGTGCTGGGTTCAAACCTAGGGCCTCAAATGCTATTCCATTGGCCTTTATCCCTCACAGACTCTAAAAAATTATGTTTATACTCATTATAGTCAATACATCCTGTAAATATATACAAGGTAATATATATTTATTGCACTAAAATTAGAAAATGCAGATAAAATTGTAGTTTCCAAATTGGAGAACAGCAGATTCCTCAAGTTGCATGGGCTGAGATATAAATCCATAACTAGATATGACCGTGGACAGGCAAGTGTCTTTGTGTTTGTTCTCCTGCCTATGAAGTGGGTGTGGGACGGCAGTTAGAGAGTGGGGGGTGTACGGAAACCACAACTTGAGATACAGCTGCATATAGAACATAAGTAAAAGATTGGCTATGCACAGAATAGAATGTTTACGATGACCCTCGTGAGATTAAAAGCAGCAGCAGCAGCTCACATTAAATATTTACTGTAGGTCCGGGCAACTCTATGGAGTACTTTGTATAGACGAGACTGTTTTCATCTTTGTAATAATCTGTCGAGGTACCACACCCACGAGGAAGTATTTTAGCGCCGTGTGAGCACACGTGAAAGAATGCCGGGGCTTGAGATTGACTGTCTACTTTCCAGGGAGCCAGGTGTGGGGAGGACAGCCCGTGTATCCACAGGAAACTGATGATGCCTGCATCTTCCCTGATGGCGGACCCTGCCCGTCTGGTCCTCAGCATCCAAGAAGAAGCTTTGTCTATGTTTGGAAGACCTGGGGTAAGGTCTCCTAGTAGCCCCTTCCCAATGTAGTCCAACCCAGGGAACCCAGGAAGAAATTCTCAACCTCCTGTCTCTCCAGCCTTTTTCAAACTGCTTCCCAGTTTTCTTTACCCCGTTGCCTCCTCTCCTCTGCTTTTGTCTCGAAACCTCTCAGGACGATACTGGCAAGTTCTGGGGGGCCCAGTGTCCAGGCTGAGCATTGCAACAGGCCACGCGAGGCTGGGCACACACACCATGGAAGTGACTGTGTACCACCGACGGGGGGCCCAGAGCTACGTGCCCCTTGCTCACGCCAGTTCCACCTTCACCATTACTGGTAAGATATCAGAAAGGAACACAGCCAGGAAGGCAGGGGGTGTGATGTGGGAAGGCTGGTTTGGTCTAGAAAGAGGAAGTGGTCCGAAACCTACAAAGGGGAGGGGTAGAAAGACTTGGGCGGAGAAGTGTGGGGTTTAGAGACGATAAAGGCCTGGCTAGGCAGCTTGTGTGTGGAGAACGTGGTTCCTAACTTCTCTGGCTCTGACCCCAGATCAGGTCCCCTTCTCCGTGAGTGTGTCCCAGCTGCAGGCCTTGGACGGAGGAAACAAGCACTTCCTGAGAAATCAGCCTCTCGTCTTTGCCGTCAAGCTCCATGATCCCAGCGGGTATTTGGTTGAGGCTGACCTCTCCTACACCTGGGACTTTGGAGACAACACTGGGACCCTGATCTCTCGGGCAGTTGAGGTCACTCACACTTACCTGGAGTCCGGCTCAGTCACTGCCCAGGTTGTAGTGCAGGCTGCCATTCCCCTGGTTTCCTGTGGTTCCTCCCCAGTCCCAGGTACCACAGATGGCAACATGCCAACTGCAGAGATACCCGGAACCACATCTAGGCAAGGGACCACTTCAGAAGTTGGTACGACAGCTGGCCAGATGCCCACTACAGAACCCTCTGGAACCACAGTTGTACAAATGCCAACCACAGAGGGTACAGCTACTACCTCTGAGCAGCCACTGACCTCAGCGGTCCTAGATACCACACTGGCAGAGATGTCAACTACAGAGGGTATCAGTACCACAGCCACAAGGCCCTCTGCAACCACGGTTGCACAAGTAACGACCATGGTGCTGGTAGAAACTACCACTGAAGACTTATCCACTCCTGAACCTGAGGGTCCAGATGCCAGCCCATTTCTGCCTACAGAAAGTTCTACAGGTAAGAACACGTGAATGAGGTGGTCTTGCCCCCAAGATCTAGATGCTAACCAGTCCTTTCTGTAGCACTGCGGCTGCCTTGGAATTCTCGCTAGCTCGAAAGCCAGAGTGTCTCAACCACATGCAAGAGACATGGAGTTCAGGAAATGAGTTTTTCCCTAGCCACAAGGAAAGGAATGAGCTGGTCCTTCCTCCAAGGAGAACAGCTAGGAAGCCAGGGGAGCTGAACAGCCTGTGGTCATTTACAAAACTCGCGTTCTGCTGAAGGGTAAATGCAGAGATGCCCCAGGTTCTGACAGCCTGGTTCTCCATTTCCCACTCTGGGATTCCTACCCCAAAGCAAAACAAAGGAGTGAGATCTGACGCTGAATGGATCAACACAGGCTAGCCGTCTAGTCCAGGACCTGACCAGTGTGGGACATGACCAATATTTGGAGACTTTCTTTATAAAAAAAATTAATGTGTGTGATGTTTTGCCTGCATTGATGTATACCACTTGTGTGCCTGGTGCTCATGGAGATCAGAAGGGGGTATTGGATCCCCTTTCCTGGATGTGGAGTTACAGGTGGTTGTAAGCCACTATGTAGGTGCTGGGAATCAAACCCAGTTTCTCTATAAGAGTAACCAGTACTTTAAACCACTGAGGCATCTCCCCAGCCCTGGATTGTGTGTGTCTACAAGAGTAACAAGAAAACATCTTTTCAGCCCTGGATTTGTGTATGTGTGTGTGTTTTCTCCTTCCTTGACTGTGTGTGGGGGTAAAAGCAGCATTTTTTCCCATTCTCACACAGCTTTCTTATATATAAAGTGAGACCTACCACCTCTTCACTGATTCAAAGCTCCAGGAGCCTGTAGCCTTGGCTGTACTTGGGGCAATGCCTGCTTGGTCTGTCTCCAAGAGCGTTACATCTCTTGACTTTGCCCCCTCAAATCTTTTCCTGCCAGGGTCCATCACCCCTCTCCTGGATGGCACAGACACCTTAATGCTTGTGAAGAGACAAGTTCCCTTGGATTGTGTTCTCTACCGATATGGTTCTTTTTCTCTCACCCTGGACATTGTCCGTGAGTCTTGCCTATGTTGGGGACCGAGGAAGGGAGGGTATAAGCTAGCTGCCAGGGCTGGCCAGTAGTAGCATATCTTGGGAGAAAATAATTGAGAATACTCTAACGGCAGAGATAGTATTGAAAGAGCATCCCTTGGGCTTTCTTGTGTATTGTCTTGGTAGAGGAACACTAACTTAAAACGTTGCAACCTCACAGAGGGTATCGAAAATGCTGAGATCCTGCAGGCTGTACCATCCAGTAGAGGTGATGCATTTGAGCTGACTGTGTCCTGCCAAGGCGGGTGAGTGTCCTGCTGGTCACTCTCTGGAGTGACTGTCATCCTTTCTGTTGTCCTGCCCCTTCGCGGATCTCTTGATGCAAACTGATACTCTTACAGGCTCCCCAAGGAAGCCTGCGTGGACGTCTCATCGCCAGGGTGCCAGCTCCCTGCCCAGAGGCTGTGCCAACCTGTGCCACCAAGCCCAGACTGCCAGCTGGTCCTACACCAAGTACTGAAAGGAGGCTCAGGGACTTACTGCCTCAATGTGTCTTTGACTGATGCCAATAGCCTGGCAGTGGCCAGCACCCAAATTGTTGTTCCTGGTAGGTACTTGACAAGAACTAGGAGGAAGGGAATGGACAGAGGGTTGCTGAGAGGGAAGAGATGCTCAAACAGTACCTGGGATTCTGCTTACAGGTCAAGAAGGTGGCCTTGGGCAAGCTCCGTTGCTTGTAGGTGTCTTACTGGTGTTGATGGCTGTAGTCCTTGCATCTCTGATATACCGGTAAGAGCCCTGCCATCCTGATCCCCATCCGTTATTACCACCAACCACTCTTCCTTTAGGGGTGAAGGAACCATCACTCCCTTCGAGGAAGCATGGTATCCAGGCGAGCCCCCGTGGGGACGTCAGACAGGCCTGGGCTATCGTCTTGTGGTACCTTTGGGGAGGGTTTGAAGCTTCTGAGGATTATTGGTATTAGAAGGTACGTGGGCAAGCCTCCTGGGGCAGAAACAACCAATGATGTGGAGCTGTTGTACATATTAGGAGTGGGTCAGAGGTCAGTGATTGGGCTCAGTGGGGAAGCCCTCGCTGCCAAAGGCTGACCACTTGAAATCAATCCCCAATGCCCACAGGCTAGGAAAGAACAAATTCCCCAAAATTTCCCTCTGGCCTTCACATGTGAACCATGGCACATGCTGCCCCACTCCTCATAAGTAAATTTAAAAGTGTAAAACAAAACAAAACAAAAAACCAGGGCAGTAGGGTGAAGCAAGTTATTCGCCTGTGAGAAAGGAACCATCAGCAGGATGTGGTGGCACATGCCTTGGTTTCTTTCAGCATTTGGGAGGCAGAGGGAGATGGAGCTCTGTGAGGCTAGAGCCTGGTGTAGAGTGAGCTCCAGGACAGCCAGAGCTACACAGTAGACGCTGTCTCAGAAGTGGGGTGCAGCAGATGGCAGATTCCCCAGCTAGCTAGCGGTGCCAAGGACCTCAAGGTGGAGAAACATAGGGGTAAGGGGGAGTGGATGGCAGAGGCTAGAGAGTCAAACGAAGATGAACGCTAGGTAGGGTAAAGAAGAGGGGAGAGAGCTGTGGTCGTGGCCAGGTAAACCTGGATAGGCCGCTGCCACTGCTGACCACTCTCCCTTCTTCTCTCCATACTAGGCACAGACTTATGAAGCGGGGCTCGGTTCGTCCTGTTTCCCAAATGCCACATGGTAGCACCCACTGGCTGCGCCTGCCCCCAGTCTTCCGCACCTCCCGCCTTGGTGAAAACAGTCCGCTCCTCAGCGGGCAGCAGGTCTGAGCGCCCTCACCATGTTGTGAGTTTCCTGGGGTTGACAGCGATGCCCGCTGCACTCCTGCAGTCTTCAGGAGACTACCAATACATGAAATAAATTCTCAGAACCTTGCACTAGGGTTTTTGTTTGTTTTGTCTGCTCTTAAATCTGCCTCTAAAGGGGTGAAGACATAAAGAGATGTATTACTCATTTGACAGATATCCCAGTGGTGGAAAAAATACTTCATTGGTTGAGGCACTTCCAGTGTTATGCGCTTTTGGTTCTGTGTGAGTGAGCGTGTGGGAACAGTGAGGTGGTACAGGGTAATAAATACTGTGGAAATGAAGACACATCCTTCTGGGCTGACAGGAGGGCATGGCAGCAATGTACAGAGCATAGAGGGAAATCTCCAGGAACAACGAGGCGGGCTCAAGGCAGAGGGTATCCTCAGCTCCAAAAGCCAAAGAAATTGTTGGAGTTGGGGGCCGGGCCCATAAGCATAGGCATCTGGTTCTTATAGGTGATCTTGATCTGAAAGGGAAGGAAACGTATTTGAAAGCCTGTCCTGGTGCCCTAGGGCTGAGACATACATTAGGGTTCTGGGGTAAGTTGTTGGGGTCCTGAGAATCCAGAGTTTGGGAATAATGGTGCACAGGGGAACCTAGGGCGCCAGGAAGCAGCAGCTGTAAAATGGAGACTTAGGCCCAGCTTCTGCAGGCATAGAATACTCACTGTACAGGGCGCCTGCATCCACGGTTCCCCATCAATTTGCATGGGGAGGGTTTTTGTGGTCCTGTGGGAGTTCAAGAAAGACTGGTTTGAGGTTTTCTTACCAACCAAAACATTAACACTCCCAGGTTGGCTTTGAGACCATCTGTCCTGGAGAAAGACCTAGGAAAGAGATTCCCACCCTTCCCGTGAGCCACCACCTCCCTTCCTCAGGAGCCCTGGCCCAAGTCCTCCTTACCGGAATGTGATCTCGGAGCACTTGGCCAGCCGATGTCCAGCATTCTTGAGCTTGGTATAGATCTGGCCCATCTCAATTGCACCCTCTATTCCTACTACTTCTAGCCGCTTGTCACTCATGTCTGGGGGTTAAAAGTAGAAAGAAACAGGTTCTCCTAAAGAAGTCACACCACCTCCTCAGATCTGACGATGTTAGCTCCAAGGAGACTTGTCTCACCTGGCACCGAGGTTTTCAGGATATCGGGGTCTGTAATTATTTTGGCGGTACTGCCTAATGCCTGGTTGATAGAAGAAGTATCCCCCTGAGGTCTCCTGATATCACCCCAGAGGTTGGAGCCACCGTGTGTGCTTGGGATATTCAGTACTGCAATGCCTTCTAGGGATAGGTCGCTGAGATCCAGCGGCTTCCCACAGATCTGAGGGGAGAGGGACAGAACCATAGCTGGAGAGGGTGTGGAGTCTCACCTGATAGCACCCTCATGTAATGTGGCTGCTCCTGCTGGGACTGAGAGGTGCTAGAGAAGGAAGGGAGGGAGGGAGGAAGGATGGATGAGAGGGGTGAGGGAGGAAGGGAGGGAGGGAAGAAGGGAGGGAGAGAAGGGAGGGAGAGAAGGGAGGGAGTGAGAGAAGGGAGGGATGGAAGGAAGGGAAGGAGGGAGGAAGGAAGGGAAGGAGGGAGGGAGAGAAGGAAGGGAGGGAGGGAGGAAGGAAAGAAGGAAGGGAGGGAGGGAAGGAGGAAGAAGACCTAATATATATGTAATTGCTTTTTGAGATAGTAGGTTTTTTTTTTTTTTCCTCTTTATAGCACTGGCTGTTCTGGAACTCACTCTGTAAGCCAGAGTGGCCTGAGAATCAGAGCTCTACCTGCCTCTGCCTCCTGAGTACCGGGATTAAAGACTTGTGTCACCTAAGAAATGTATTTAGTAGCCCAGCATGGGCCCACGCCTTTAATCCCAGTACTTGGGAGGCAGAGGCAGATAGATCTATGAGTTTGAGGCCATCCTGGTCCACATAGAGCTCCAGGACAGTCAGATCTACATAATAGAGACCTTGTATTAAAAAAAATAAAAAATGTATTTATTATTTGTCTGTATGTGAGGGAATGGGGGCATTATATGAGCATTTATAGTAAAGAGGACAGTTTATAGGAGTTAGTTCTCTCCTTATGCCATGTGAGTTATGGGGACTGAACTCTGGTTATTCTTGGCAGCAAACCCTTTATCTGCTGAACCATCTTACCAGCCCTGAGACTAGTATATCTTAAGGACTTAGTAAACTGGAGTAATAGGTCCACACATGTGTGACATTCATTCCCAGGGGCTTCTGTGTAGGACAAAACCTGAATACAAGAAAATGAAAAACTTGCAATCGCAAAACTTAGGGATTTGATGCAGGAGAATTGCTGCAAGTTCCAGGCCAGTCTGGAATACAGCGTGAGACCCTACGTCAAAAAAAAAAAAACAAAAAACAAAAAAACAAACAAAAAAAAACACGTGGCTCCCTTGGTTTTATCATACGCACCTCAACTGTTAAAGACTCTTCCAGCTTTTTGCATGTTGAGAAGATAGTTTCAGATGTGGCAAATTCCAAGTACCACAACTTGTTTTTCATTCTTCATCAACCCGAACAGAAGGCCCAAAAGGGAAAAGAAAAGTTACACACACACAGTGCTGACAGCGACAACAAAGGGGGCCAACTTCCGACTCCAGGGCGACAGTGGCAGCTTTGGTGAGGGGCTGCTAGCAGGTGCTTCTGCCTACACCTAACCATTCGGTGTCAAATTGCTCACAAGTCCAGTCTTTTTTTTTTTCCTTCGAGACAGGATTTCTCTGTGCAGGCCCAGCTGTCCAGGAACTCATCTGAGACCAGGCTGGCCTTGAACTCAGAGACCCTCCTGTCTCTGCCTCCCAAGTGCTGGGATTAAAGGTGTGCTCACCGTGCCTGGCACAAATCCAGTCTCCACACTGAATGTCCATTCCCTGTCTCTTTTTTTAAAAATATCTTATTCATTTTGTGTGTGCGCTCATTCATGCATATGGAGGCCAGGCGATAACCTGCAAGAGTCAGATCCCCTCTTTCTACCATGTGGGTTCCAAGGATGAAACTCAGGTGGGTCTTCAGGCTTAGAGGGAGACACCCGCTGAGCGACCCTTCTCCCCTCTTTCTTTCCTCACCTGCTGTTGAACTTCTCGGGATATTTCTCTCGCATGACATGGAACTGGTGGGCAATTGAAGCATCCTGGAGGGTTACAAGCATATTTTAGAGACCAGACTCCTCCCTGCTCAGAACTCTTTCTCTGCTACGTTCTCTTCCCCTTTGCTCTCCCTTTCCCCGCCCCTCCCCTCTCCTTTCCTCCCCTCTGGAGTAAGGCCCATCCCAAGTTCTTTCAGCAACACAATCCCTACGTACCTAACTCCCAGTGGTCCCCCCCCCCCCGTGTTGCTTCCTTTCTGATCTCCAGCTTCTGCCTGCTTTGCCCACACTTCTCCCCCACCCTACTGCACTGACCACACCAATGGAGAAGTAGTTATTGATGATCTGAGAGGGGACGGGGTCACTCTTCTCATTTCCTTGGAGTGTTACTTCCAGGAGCCACCGGTCGAGATATACCACCTTACTTGTCTCTATGTCCTTGAGGATCTTTCCCAAATTCTCACCTTCATAACCTAGGGGAGGAAAAGACAGGCTTGCATGGATCCCTGGGCCTCTGAGAGCCCACTCTGAGCCCATCTGCATGGATTCCCAGGGATCCTCTGCCTCGGCTCTATAGCAGCCCCCAGGCCTTTGCCAGTGAAATGGCAAGATGCCCAAGCCCCAGGAACCAGTGAGCAAGTCAGCTTCTGGCTGTCTCTGCCTGCTATGAAAAATGAACATTCCCAATGTGTGTCCATATAGACATTATTCCACATACGTCTTGAATAGTGCAAGATACACCAGGAAAATGCTGAGAGACGAGTGACAGCAAGTTGTGGTGGCTCACGTCTGCAACCCCAGCACCTGGGAGGCTGGTCAAAAGACCGCCCTAGGCTACATGGGAGTTCAAGGTCAGCCTGAGCTGACACCTCAGAACCGTCACAGTAAATACAGTTAGCTAATCCTTCCTGGCCCCAATCCAACAAATGCTAAAAGCTAAACGTGTGCCGTTAAATTTAGTTAGCTATTTCTTTTTACTATTGTTAATGTTTATTTTATGTGCATAGGCTATTTGCCTGCATATATGTCTGTATACCACATTCATGCCTAATGCCTACAGAGGCCAGAAGAGGGCATTGGATCATCTGGAACTGGAGTTACATATGGTTACATAAGTTGCCATGTGTGTGCTGGGAATTGAACTTGGGTCCACTGTAAGAACAGCCAGCATCTTTAACTACCGAGTCTTCTCTCTAGCCCTTTAAAACTTTTTTTTGACACAAAATTTCCACACACATACATGAATACATGTATATGGAAGTATTCTTGGAACGAATTGAAAAAAAAAACTAAGTATCCCTCAGTATAAAAACCTATGCCACTGCCAGGCAGCACACACCTTTATTTCTAGCACTTGGGAGGCATAGGCAGGCAGATCTCTGTGAGTTCAAGGCCAGCGTGATCTACATAGCTAGTTCCAGGATAGCTAAGGCTGTTCCACAGAGAAAACCTGTCTTGTAAAACCTAAAAGAAAAAAAAAAAAAAGCCATGCCACAATGCTGGCGGTAGTGGTGTATGACTTTAATCCCAATACTTGGGAAGCAGAGGCAGGTAGATCTCTGTGAGTTTGAGGCCAGCCTGGTCTACAGAGCGAGTTCCAAGGCTACATAGAGAAATCCTGTCTCTCAAAAGAAAAATCTATGCCACAAAAATGCAATAGAAGTATTAGAAACAGTGAAATAGAATAATATGGAAAGACTATCAAGACACATAATTAATGAAGAAAGTCCTAGAACAATCTAGACATAGTATGACCTTGTGCGTTTGTTAAAATGCCACGCGTGCTGGGGTAAAGCGACTCAAGAGGGTAAAATGCTTGCCCACAGGATGGTGACCAGAGTTTGAATACACAGAACCTAGAAAAGCTAGACACAGTTGCATGAAGATATCCCCAGGGCTTCTTTAGGGAGATGAGGGCTGGCTACTGTACACCTGGAAGCTTACACCTGCTAGCCTGGGACATCCATCAGGATAAAGACAAGATGCCAGGAATCTCAAAGGTGATGGGAGGTGAGGATCAATCATGGAGGTTGTCCTCCGACCTCCACACACACACACTGTGGCACACACATGCCTGTACTTACACACACAAAGGCACGCCCATGCATTCTACACACACACTATGCCAAGATAAAAATGTGTGGGCAAACATGCCTGCACATATATACACACATGGCACCAGCGAGATGGCTCAGTGGGTAACGACACGTGCTGCCAAGCCTGAGGACCTGAGTTCAATCCCTGAGACCCACATGTTAGAAGGCAAGAACCGACTCCTGCAAGCAGCCGTCTGACAGGCACACGTACAGCAGGACATCATCCTGCCCGCCACTAAGTAAACACACGTAAATTAAAGCAAAACAGAAGCTGAGATGTTGACACACCCGTGTATCCAGAATGACACAGAGGGATAGACCCCAAAACTTCGGGGAGTATAAGGAACTTCTAACTTCCTGGGCATGCGTATCTGGAATGGTTATATTAATTTGTTTCTATTGTTTCTTATTTTTGTACCGAGGATGATTAGGAAAGAGCATTTCCTATAGCTCTTCTCCCACTCATCCAGCTCTACTGAGCGAAGCTTCTTGGCCCAGCAGGTGGAGGCACTTGACACAAAGCCTGACAACCTGAGCCGATCCCCAAGACTCCCGAAAGTTGTTTTCTGACCTCCACGCTTGTGCTATTGCGTACACAGAGGGGGTTTTTGTTTGTGTGTTTAAGATTATCTTGGACTCTTGCCAAATTCAGTACTTCATATATAGTTCTCCATTTAACTGTTTGGTTGTTGTTGGTGGTTTTTTTTTTAAGATTTATTTATTTATTTATTATGTATCCAGTGCTCTGCCTGCATGCCTGCGTGTGTGCCTGCACACCAGAAGGGGGCACCAGATTTCCATCACAGATGGCTGTGAGCCACCATGTGGTTGCTGGGAACTGAAGGACCTCTGGAAGAGCAGCCAGTGCTCTTAACCTCTGAGCCATCTCTCCAACCCTGTTGTTGTTGTTTTGTGACAGGGTTTCTCTGTGTAACAGCCTTGGCTGTCCTGGAACTCACTCTGTAGACCAGGCTGGTTTTGAACTCAGAGATCCACCTGCCTCTGCCTCCCGAGTGCTGGGATTAAAGGCGTGCGCCACCATCGCCAGGCTCCTGATGTATTTCTAACCACCCACCACGGCATCTTCATCTGGCTGTTCCACTGATACCTTAGCTTAACAAGCACCAAACTGAATCACGGTTTCTGGAAATGGACTTCCCTCTACATCTCCATCATCATAACAGGCGTCCCCATCGGATCAGACAAACCAGGAAACTTATCGCTACCTCCTTTATCTCTGTTCCACCAGTTACCAAGCACTGTGGCTTCTACCTTACCAGTCCCTGTCTCCCTCAGGCAACTCACCCTCCTCAGAGCTCCCATAGCGATATTCCTTTTACCTCCTGGTCTTCAAACCTTTTGATAGCTTTTAGTATCTACATAAATTTACATTAGTTCTGTATATTCTTGTGGTCATGATTCAGGTTGAGTAAACAGAACTCTAGGAGTGTCTCACTGACAGAACACAATGAGGACTCAAATGTATAATTTCGAAGTGCCAGATATAACAATGGAGAAGTCAGATAAAAACTGGTCACCCACACACGAGGCTTGGGTGAGGGCTGGAGAGAAGCTTAGTGCATGAAGGTGCCCACTGCCAAGTCTGCCAACCTGATCCCAGCACTCACACGGTAATAGGAGAAAGTTTACTCCCAAAGTCATGCTCTGGCCTCATCTGTATGCTGCTGTACCCATGTAAACACACACACACACACACACACACACACACACACACACACACGCACACACACACCATAAAACTAAAAAAGTCTTACATTATAAAATAAAGTCAGAAAGTTTTTTTTATTCTTAATTTTTTTGAGAACTATCTGTGGTTCAAGGTTTACACATTCAAATATTTCAGTGGCTGCAAAGGAAAAGTGGTGAGTAGCCCGCAGAGGTGTGGGAAGTCCTTCTGTCCATGTTTTGCTTTTATTGGTTAATGAATAAAGCTGACTCAGGCAGTGGCTTAGCAGAACAGGACAAGGCAGGAGTTCCAAGTAGACAGAGGAGGAGAGAGTAGGCAGAGTGAGTGAGAAGCCTTTGACCCCGCCGGACAGATGCCCAACAGAACTTTACCCAGGAAGCCACAGCCACATGGCAATACACAGATTAGTAGAGATGGGTTAGTTTAGGATATAAGAACTAGCTAAAAATATGCTTAAGCTATTGGCTAGGCAGTATTGCAAATAATATAGTTTCTGTGTGATTATTTCGGGTCTGAGCTGCTGGAAAGGAACAAGCAGCCTCTGCCAACATAGCAGGAAGCCAGACAGATTGAGGTGAGCTAGAGAATACAATTAGAATATCTGACCTCCATGGACGCCAGGCAAGCACATGGTACACAGGCATACATGTAGGTAAAACACAGAGTAATAATTGTTTTAAAAATACAATGAAGAGGGCTGGAGAGATGGCTCAGTGATTAAGAGCATTGCCTGCTCTTCCAAAGGTCCTGAGTTCAATTCCCAGCAACCACATGGTGGCTCACAACCATCTGTAATGGGGTCTGGTGCCCTCTTCTGGCCTGCGGGCATACACACAGACAAAATATTGTATACATAATAAATAAATAAATATTTTAAAAGAAATACAATGAAGAGCTTGGTGGTGGCACACGTCTGTCTTTAATCCCGGTACTTAGGAGGCAGAGGCAGGTGGATCTCTGTGAGGTCAAGGCCAGCCTGGTCTACAGAGTGAGTTCCAGGATAGGCTCCAAAGTTACAGAGAAACCCTGCCTCAGAAAAAATTTAAAAAATAAAATAAAACATTCAAAAAAATTAGTGAGCTGCCTCAGTGGGTAAAAGCACTTGTTGCCAAGTCTGACGTCAATCTAAGGAACCCACGTGGTAGAAGAGACCTGACTCTCAAAACTTGAAAATTGTCCTCTGGAGAGTTCAAGGCCAAGGCCAGCCTGATCCACAGAGAGAGTTTCGTTTCGGGGGCAGCCAGACCTACGCAGAGAGCCCATCTCAAAAAAGAGAGAAAGGAAGGAAGGAAAGGGGGGAGGGAGGGAGGGAAAGAAGAAGGAAGGGAGGAGGGAAGGAAGGAAGGAGGGAAGGAAGGGGAAAGAAAGGGAGAAAGAAGGAAGGGAGAGAAAGAAGGGAGGAGGAAGGAAGGAGCGAGGGACAGAGGGAGGGAGGAAAGGAAAGAGGAAGGAAGGGGGAGAGAGGACGAGGAGAAAAGTGTCCTCTGATCTCTGCAAGCACACTGTAACACAAGCATATGTGTATTGTATGGAATTTTCAATAATTAGAAAGAGAAGCAACTAAGAGACTGCCTGATGCTCACTCAGTGGTCACACACCCTTCAGCACCCCACACTGTGCCTTGTTACCCTACCGCATTCCCTTATCCTTTGGGCCCTAGGACCTTGGGGTGATTAGGGAAGGGGACTGTCACCCTTGACTCTCCTTCGTTCTTCCCCAGCCCTCTCTTTATACCAGACCCTTAGGGTGTTTGCACCACGTACATGCAGTGCCCACAGAGGACAGTGTCAGGTCTTTGAGCACTGTGGTTGCAGAAGGTTGTGAGCCACCACATGGGTGTTGGGAACTATGCCCAAGTCCTTTGGAAGAACAGTCAGTGCTCTTAACGCTGAGCCATCTCTCCAGCCCTCCCCCCCATGCTCCAGCCAAACCCCTCACTATCACTTACCTCTTCCCCACCTTAGGCAACGAGCCAGATCATTTCCAGTGCCCAGGGGCAGCACAGCAACAGGAGGCACAACCGGAAAGTTGGCTTTATCTGAGAAGGCAGGCGAGGAGAAGAGATGGAGGGGGCTGGCCCTGGAACACTACTTCCCCATCCCCTGCCCAGAGGCACCTCTCCCTGCACTGACCAATGCTTTCTAGAATCCAGCCTACTGTGCCGTCTCCACCACACACCAATACCCGGAATTGAGGAACGTCTCTGAAAAATTTGAGCCTGAGATAGGAGGAAAGAGAGAAAATGAAGGAAAACTGGAACCTACCAGGTCCTGAGCAGATAGGTCACTTCTCATGCCTATGACCCTGTTTCCTGTTGTGGAACAGACTTTAACTGTGTAAAGGTGTGTTGCTTTTGTTTATGCTGCATTTGTTTTATTATGTAAAGATGTGTTGCTGTTTTACCTTGCCTGCCTAAGGCGCCTGATTGGTCTACTGAAAAGCTGAACAGTCAAAAGCTAGGCAGTAGAGGGATAGGCGGGGCTGGTAGGCAGAGAGAAGTAGGAGGGATTTAGGCTTGAGCAATAAGAAAGGAGAATGAGGGAGAAAGGGAGGGAGAAGTCAGCCACCAGACACAGAGCAAGCCGTGAAAGTTGGACACATAGAATGAAAGAAAGATAAAAAGACTCAAGGCAAAATGTAGATGAAGAGAAACAGGTTGATTTAAGTTGTGAGAGCTAGTGGGACAAGCGTAAGATAAGACTGAGCGTTCATGGCTAATAACAAGTTCTCCGTGTCATGATTTGGGAGCTGGTTAGTGGCCCAAAAGGAAGCAGTTACAGTTCCCCCCTTGCCAAAAGACATCAGCTTGGGGCCGACAGGCTAACTGAGCTGGGGAAGCACTGACTTTCCAAGCCCCAGGACCTGAATTTGATCCCCGGAACCAACATAAAAAGGCCAGACATGGTGGTGTGTGTTCTCACTACAGTGCTGCCAGGGAAGCAAGCCGGAGGGTCAACCAGTCCAGCCTTGTCTCAAAAGAAGGATGGCATTCCTAAGGTGACACCTCAAACTGTTCCACGGCCTTGATCCACCCAAACACCCGCCCCCCAACAACTCCCCTTCCTTCCCACACACACACACATGCACACTTGTGGGCACACATGCCATTTTTAAAGTACATAAAAAGGCTCGTCGAGCAAGCTCAACAACCCGACTTCAATCCTCACGACTCGATTCTCAAAAGTTGTCCTGTGACCTCTATTCATGTGGCATATACACACATTGATGATGATGATATAATAATAAATAATAATAATAAATTAAATGAAACTGTAAAGAGCTGGGCAGGTGGCCAGGTAAAATTTCTTCTCATCAAGCACAAAGATCTGAGTTTTGATCCCCAGAACCCATGCTAAAACAATAAACAAACAAACAAAATACAAAGAGCAAGGGTGACCATAGGCTCCTGGAAACCTACCACTGTGAAAAATTGAGAAAAAAAAAAAGATTTGAGATTTTAATAAGGGTGGAGAAAGGAGAATGAACAAGTTCTCGCAATCATTCAGTGGTTAGAGAGGATTCTCTCTGTCCTTTGAGAGCTTAACCAAGAATCAGAAAATTGGAAGTAATGGGATCATAGTGACTTGAAGGGAAGACAGCATTTGGGAATCCGAGCTCTTGGGTCTCCTCTAACAGACTCTCTCTCTCTCTCTCTCTCTCTCTCTCTCTCTCTCTCTCTCTCTCCACACCACACACACACACACACACACACACACACACACACCTCTCGCCCTGAGATACAGCCCCTCATCTATACCCACCCTTGCTCTGGACCATTCTTCAGGTTGTACACCTGCCGAGGGTTTAGCATATACTGGAACTTCCAAAGCACCCTGTGTGAAAGGAGAAGACAGGCAATGTGGCCTGGCTGACAGCACTGATACTCTGTGCTGTTTCCATGGCACCCCCAAAGGACCCCTCCGCACACATTCCCTCCTCCCTCCACACTCCGGTTCTCCCTGCCCTACTAGGAAGAACGGTGTACGGTGTACATCTGCTCACCTCTGCCCCTGCTTCCCTCCACTCTTAGGATTGACAAAGACTAGAAGCGGATGGGTGTTAGAAACAGGGTCAATCTGCAGTGGGCAAAGAACATAAGAATAAAGAAAGCATGATTTTGTCAAAGCTAAAGGTGGGGCCTTCAGAGGCATGACTTGCATTTCCTAAGCCGCTTTCCCTCTCCTGTTTCATCTCCCCTCTCCTCCGCGAACAAGGTGAACCATTTAGTCAGCAGCCCTGCTTTCTATTCCTTCCAAGAAGGCTCCAGTCAAAAGCTGGCATGACCTTTAGGCCCAAGCCCCTCATCCCTGTACCCGAAGAGCATCAATGGTAGACAGGCTTGCGTCATCTGCGGTCTTCAGCTTGCGATCTGGTACAGATGCCTGTGAAGGGAAAGAAAAGGTGGGTTATAAGCCGGGCGGTGGTGGCGCACGCCTTTAATCCCAGCACTCGGGAGGCAGAGGCAGGCGGATCTCTGTGAGTTCGAGACCAGCCTGGTCTACAAGAGCTAGTTCCAAGACAGGCTCCAAAACTACAGAGAAACCCTGTCTTGAAAAACCAAAAAAAAAAAAAAAAAAAAAAAAAAAAAGGTGGGTTATGCAGGAACCAAATGCATGGATGTCCTGGCTCTCTGTTCTCAATGTCCCTCTGGCTGGGTAAGGCGGCTCACACCTATCTTATAATCCCATCCCTTGGGAGGGAGTGGTAGGCAGATCTGAGTTCAAGGTTAGCTTGGCCTACACAGCAAGTTTCAGGCAGGCCAGGATTACATAGTGAGAAACAATAACAAAATCCCACATGTTCACGGAAAAGCAGTTCACGTGTTCACGGAAAAGCAGGGATAGGCTGTCCCTTCCCAGCTGCTGTGGACGGTCTCACCAGAACTCTGGGATAAATGGAAGACGGAGGCAGGATATGATCGCGGAGCGGCCCACAGTCACACTCGGTCCCCACAGCCTGCAGACAGTCGTCATGGATCTAGGAGCACAAAACGGGAACAAATCATGCAGGAGGCTTTATCAGTTCTCAACCTGAGAGTCTGGACAGGAAAGAGAGCCCTTGGGAGCAAGAATGACTGTGACAGAGAGGTGGGGTGCTCTGGTCTCGGCCTGGGGCGGGGCTGGGCGGGGCGGGGCGGGACTGGGCGGGGCGGGGAGAAGACAGCTCCTGCACCGACCTCCAGGTGGCACCACACACAATGCAGTCCTGTGAGGCTGTGGTAGATGCGGATCTTTTTCTGGCAGCGGTCACATCGTCCAGAGTCACAGCCTCCTCGAACCCACACATGTGACTGGACCTTGGGGGAGAAGGGCAGGGCCTTGTCTGGGAGGGGTCTTGTGTGGGAGGGAATGAAGACAGAGACCAGGGGTTGGCAGCGTGGGAACGAACCGGGCGTGGGGTCACTCACACCAATGTCTTTCCGAGACTTGGCATAGGTGCTGACTTCACAAGGCTGGGCCTTCATGGCACAGTGGTCATGAACAGTGTACTTACAGACTGGGGAGAGGGAAGAAGGGCAGAGCTTTAATTGTGGCCTTTCCCCCTCTTCTTCTTTCTTGGGAGTGAAGAAGAGTCACTCGCTGGAGCAAGACCTGCAACCCTTGCTGCCAGGTTGTGGTAGAGAATTAAAGTTTGCAAGGGCAAGCCTTGTCTCAGTCTCCTAAAAAGGCAAATGATGCCACCTCTTATCGGTCCCTACACTGTCCCCATGGCTGGCTGGAACTGACATAGCAAGTTCTGGCCAGCCAAAGCTACACAGCGAAACCTTGTATCAATAAAATAATTGAATCTTTGATGCAATGTCTCCCTTTAATTAATTAATTGAATTTATTTGTGTGTGTGGGTAGCATTACCACAGTGTACACGAAGAGGTCATAGACAACTTTCTAGTCCATCTTCTCCTCATTTCACAGGTTCTCGGGATTGAGCTCAGGACAGCAGGTCTGGCAACAAGTGCTTTCGCCCACTGAATTATCTTCCCAACCGCTATTTGCTTGTTTTGAGATGATAGGGTCTTCTGTAGTCCAGGCTGTACAGAAGGCTGACCTTAAACTTCCTCTGTAACTGGGGCCAGCCCTGAACTCCTGATCCCCCTCCCTGCAGCCGAAGAGTGCTGTAACCATGTGTTACCATGTGTTACAAAGGCTAGTTGTATGAACATATCTACTGTTTACAATTACTTCCTCTTTTGAGTCAAAGAAACTAAAGCTTAAAGAAAATACATGAAACTGGCCATGCTGACTCACCCCTTTAAGGCCAACATTCAGGAAGCTGAGCAAGCTAGATATGGTGGTGTACACCTTTAGTGCCAGCACTCAGGAGGAAGAGGCGGGAGAATCTCTGTGAGTTCCAGGCCAGCCTGAGCTACAGCGCAAGAGCCTGTCTTTTTACTTATAATTTAAAAAAAAAAAAGATTATTTGAAAAAAGAGAAAAAGACATACAGACTTGGGTTTGAGTCCAAGCACAACACACAAATAATAATTAATAATAAAGGTTACGTTGCTTTTGCAGGATCATAGAGAGGGAGTGTCGGAGCCTACAGTTCTAATCCTTGTTTCTCTGAGTTCATAACATCATGTTCCCACTAATTGCTGGGCTTCCCTCTTCCCACACCCCGGGTATCATCACTCACGGTTACAGCTCAGGCCCTGTTTGCCAAGGCCAATGCTCAGCTCGCATAGGTTGCAGTAGACTGGTCTGGGGAATCTCTTGGGTCTCCACATGTGTACCCCATCATCCTTCAGCGTCTAGGGGGGTCACAGAGGATGCCAGCTTCTTAGAAGGCCAGTTCTCCGGTGAGTATAGCCAAGACAGCTCTTGACCATCCCTACCAGTCTTTCCCACTCACCATATCTACCCCCAGAAGCACAAGCAGCGGCACAGTGGTGGCGCCAGCCCGGACCCACTCAGCTAGGGAGACAGAGCCACTGCCATCGTAGTCGATCTCCTTCATCATCTCCTGGAGGATCTGAATGGAGAAGAGAGGAAGCCCTTGCCAAGAGCGGCCCCAGACACCTCCCTGCTCTCTCAGGACACCCAGAGGAAGCCCTTGCGGAGAGTGTCCCCAGACACCTCCCCGCTGTCTCTCAGGACACCCAGAGGGAGCCCTGGCTGAGAGTGGCCCCAGACACCTCCCCACTCTCTCAGGTGTCTCTCAGGACATGCAGCACAGTCATCCTAGCAGAGGGACCCAAGTGCCCATTAGAGATGGGATAAGGCAGATGCAGGACCGTGGGGAAGAGGGCACGAAAAGGCAAGGGACAAACTGTCTTACCGGCCTCAGCTCGGACACATCCCAGTCTAGATATTCGGCCACTCGAATCATCTGGTGGATAATTCTTTCTACTTCCTGGGGCAAAGAGGGTAAAAGCCAGAGCTAGTCACCTCCTGTCACCACTACTCAAGTCTAGAAACCAGGGCTCCTGGATGCCCCTTCCAGATGCACCCCTTGTTCTCAGGTACCCATCTCCAGCCTTCTCTTCAGAGTTCAAGCTCTCAGGAACCCCTTCATATTTGGTCCTAGTGGACTAAGAATCCTCTAGACACCATTGTCTCCTCTTTTTTGCGGGGTTTGGTGGTGGTGGTGGTGGTGGTGAGAGGGTAGTGTTGGAGATGAACTTAAGGCCACGTGCGTGTTAGGCAAGCACCACACCATTGAGCTGCACCCCCCCCCACCTTTGCTCTGCTTCTGAAGACCCTGGGAAAGTCCAGGCGGGAGAGCACAGGCAGATGGACAGAGTCCCTTGCTCAGTACACGGGTTCTCACAACTCACCGAGCTATCCAGGATCCCGTTTCTATCCGAGTCATACAGCTTGAAGGTGACTGTGAAGTTTTGGAGGAACCCAGTCAGTTTGTGAGAAAGATCTAAAGAATTCACTCCAAGGCCAGGATTGAAAGGGCTTGTAATCCCAGCACTTGGAAGATCTCTGTGAGTTCAACCCTGATCTACTTAGTGAGCTCCAGGCCAGCTTGGGATACATGGTGAGACCCTGTCTCAAAAACAAAACAAAACAAACAGACAAACCCACAAAACCAAAACCAAACCAAAACAAAACCCCCAAGTACTCAGAAACCAGAGGAAAATAAAGAGATACGGAAGCCAAGAAGAGGACTGAGGCCGGCAGTGGTGGTGCACACCTTTAACCCCAGTACTTAGGAGGCAAAGACAAGGGGATCTCTGTAAGTTCAAGGCCAGCCTGGTCTATAGCGTAAGTTCCAGGACAGGCTCCAAAGCTACAGAGAAACCCTGCCTTGGGGAAGAAGGAAAAAAAAAAAAAAGAATAGGTTTGATAGAACAGATGAGCAGGATGGGCAGCTGAAAGCCCAGATATACACCAGGACTTAGGAAGCTGAGGCAGGAAGATAGAGAGTTTGAGACCAGGACGACTTACACATTGTGAGACCCTGTCACATACATCTAAAACAAAAAGGTAGGGACAACAGCAATGTATGCCAGCCCTGGTAAATATAATAAAGACAGCACACACTTCTGTGCACCATGAGCATCCAAGGCCACCTACATGGGGATGTCTAAGGCGTGGGACCTGGTGTGACACACGGTAGCACGTGTAGGCAGTCAAGGAGGACAGAGGAAATAGGCCCGCTCTCTGGCACACCCTTGTCAGCCTTTAGAAATTCCAAAGGAATGAGGAAAGGGGGTCTGGAGAATACTTCCCTTCCCCTGTTCAGAACGGCAGGCGACTCACATTCTAGCTTGTCTTCTGGCCGGCCACCCTCCAGGAGGGAGAAGTAGCAGGAGACATCACTGAGGCAGATCACATTGCCTACAAAATGAAAACATGACAGAGCCAAGGTCAGGCCCCTTCTACTTTGGGTCTTTCTCTTGCGCTTACCTCAGCTCTCCCCTTTATCTTTCTTTACACTAGCTCCTAGCGCCTTTTCTCTTGACCTGCCCACAATAAGTGACTGCTTCGGTCCTCATCCCCAGATGCAAACTACTTTGGCTGTTTTTCCAGAGGCCCAGCCCAGCTTCCACCTGCTTAAAAGTACCTCTTGACTTAGTCATTTCTAAGCTTTGACTAGCGTGAAAGGACCAAAACAGAGACCAGCAGAGGTGATGGGGGACTTCATCCACTTCCAGATAGAGTTTCAGGAAATGCTCAAATCCCACGTAGCCAATGACCTATGATAAGAGTTGAGCATTACACTGGGAAGTCTGCAGGACAGAGAAGCTGAGGACTGAGGAACGGGAAGCCATACAATAGAGGCCCTGCTGCCAGGCACCAGAGGTGGATGGATGGTTACTTGGGCCATCTCTTGAGTTACTAGGATCTCTCGCCTTGTTCTAAAGCAACAGCTCCAGTAACACTCAACAATGGGGTATTTGGAGGTGGGAGAGCAAGAAGTGGGTCCATGAAAATTCCCCGCAAGCTGGGAGTCAAGGAGAGGGCGCCCCATGACACTCACATCTTCTTGGCAAAATCTGTTCATGTCACCATCCTCAAAGAGCTTCAGAACATCACTGACCTTTTTGGTGGAGTCTGTAAGAAGAGAGTAAGACAAGATTAAGAGCATAGCTTGAGCCGGGCGGTGGTGGTGCACACCTTTAATCCCAGCACTTGGGAGGCAGAGGCAGGTGGATCTTTGTGAGTTCGAGACCAGCCTGGTCTACAAAAGCTAGTTCCAGGACAGGCTCCAAAACCACAGAGAAGCCCTGTCTTGAAAAACCAAAAAAAAAAAAAAAAAAAAAAAAAAAAAAAAAAAAAGAGCATAGCTTGGTTCTCCTGGCCTTCCGCCAGAGTTCCACTTGGCCATCTACAGGAACAAAGGTTTGAATGAGAGGAGAGACTGCAAGAAGGGAAGAGCCGTTCAGCTTCTCCACAGCCATGCCCTTGTTTTCTCCGCTGAGGCCTGGAGCAAGCAGTCAGGTAGGGGAAACGTGGGGAAAGAGCTGAGGCCTTTCACACAGCTGAGGCTGTGTGAAAAGGGGATCAGCTCCTGATGGCTGGGACACGGGTGGAGGGTACCGAGAAGGAAGCCTCCAGAACTGAGAGGCGGGGAGAAAGACTCACATTCCATGTATTGCTGCAGCTGAGCAAAGTCTTCTGGGCTGATTAGCCCCTTCTCTTTGGCCATCCTTTTTCTCTTTTTAAGGTAGAGTACAAACAGAGCCCGGTAGTACAGCTTATTGCGTTTGTTTTTCTGAGGGTAAACCTGGGGGAAGAAGGGAGCGGTCATGGAAAGTGGCTACCTGTCTACATCTTGTGCCGGCTTTCCCTGTGCCTGTCTCTAACTCTCCCCGACAAGGACTGTTCTCCGTCTTCCTTTCTCTGACTCATCTCTGACATTTCTGGGTCCTTCTTCCACTCAGACTTCTCCCATCTGTTTGATTCAAAACACACACACACACACACACACACACACACACACACACACACACACACACACACAGCGCCTGGCCTTTTTCAGTCCCCTGCCCTCACTTCAGGCTCTGTGGCCTCTGCCCATCTCCTCCCACTGTCCTGAGAGTCTCACCTTAGGGCACCTCATATGGCAGGACCCCATCTTGCTCTCCCTCCAGCAACCACCCCCCCGAGCCCCACACGCCCCCGCCCCGCCCCACAACGACCTCTAGCGCATCTGACACGAGGCTCTGAACTAGCGGGGAGCGACCTAGCTCTGTTCATATCTCATGGGGCTCTACTAGGGACGGGAGGGAACTTGGCTCGTGGGACTGGGGAAGGTTGGACAGGAGACTTCCTGGATTTCCTGGGCGCCGAACGCGGAGCTGCAGGTTCCGCTATGACGCCAGATTCCCCACCCTGCTAGGTTACCAGCTTTTATGGAACGCCACCTTTTGGTACAGATCCCAGGATACAAGCGGGGATCACGTAGTCCTAACTCCTGCCGACGGACTAAGTAGTAGAGGGTGACATTTCTAGACGATTTTATTTTGTTTGTCTGCTAGGGTCTCGGTACTATGTGGCCCTGGCTGTCTTAGAGCTAGCTGTATAACCAAGGCTGCATCCAACTGGTCCAGCAATAAGCCTGCCTGAGTCACTGGTCCTGATAAGCTATTGTATCCAGGGCCCTGAGTCTCCGAGGCAAATGTTTTTACAATCGAGCTACACTCACCTTAATTATTTAATATCAGCAACAACAGTAATTACATATTTTACAGAAGTAAGTCGTTCAGGGCTGTTGAGGAGTCAGATCTAACTGGGTTCCACACTTTGCTGTGACGGGCCTGTGGCTTGAAATAATTACACCTGTAACAGGGAAAACGACACCTATGGTTCACAGGTGAGAAGTTAAATAATATATTAAAAATAGCACAAATAATGACAGGCATAAGTGAAGCCTACAAGAAATGGCAACTATCACTGTATTAATACAGCTAAAATTTTAAATGAAAACATTTTTTTTTTCCAAGACAGGGTTTCTCTGTAGATTTGGAGCCTGTCCTAGAAATAACTCTTGTAGACCAGGCTGGCTTCTAACTCACAGAGATCCTCCTGCCTCTGCCTCCCGAGTGTTGGGGCTAAAGGTGTTTGCCACCACTGCCCAGCGAAAACATTTTTTAAAAATTTATTTATTTATTATGTATACAATGGTCTGCCTGCACGTGTCCCTGCAGACAGAAGTTGGCACCAAATCTTATTACCGGTGTTGTGAGCCACCATATGGTTGCTGGGAATTGAACTTAGGACCTCTGGAAGAGCAGTCAATGCTCTTAACCACTGAGCCATCTCTCCTGTCTCAAACAAAACAAAAACTATAAATGACAAACAAAAAGTATTTTTTAAAAAAAAAGTGCATGCCTTTAATACCAGCACTTGGGAGGCAGAGGCAGTTGGAGCTCTATGAGTTCAAGGCCAGCCTAGTCTACAGAGCAAGTTCCAGGACAGTCAGGGCTATTACACGAAGAAACCCTGTCTTGAGAAACAAAAGACAAAACAAAAAAACTCCAGTGTCAGACAGGTGTAGTGGTTCATGCTTGTAATCCCTAAAGCCTGGGGAGGCTGAAGCAGGAGGATGGCGAGCTTGAAGATGGTCTGGGCTAAGTAGTGAGACTGTGTGTCAAAAATTCCAACTAAGCTTCGAAAGGTGGCACGCGTCTTTAATTGAAGCACTCTGGAGCAGAAACAGGAGGATCTCTGTAAGTTCAAGGCCAACCTAGTCTATAATGAATTCCTGGACAGCCAGGGCTACTTAGAGATCCTGTCTCAAACCAACCAACCAAACAACCACAACAGAAAAAACCTACTTGCTTCACTTTCAGAGAACTTGATTTGATTTCCAGCACACACATACAACTGTTGGCCTACAATCGCCTAATATTAGTTCTACCTTTAAGGGACTTGATGCCCCTCTTCTGGCCTCCATAGGCACTGCACACACATAGCGAATGCTCAAATATATACACATAAGTTAAAAAACATCCATCAATCTTGGTGACCTATGCCTTTAATCCTAACATGGGCAGGGGAAGGGGCAGGTGGATCTCTGAATGTGAGAATAGCCTGCTCAGGATATACACTTTTAGACAGAGCTACATAGTGAATCACGTAGCAGCACATAAATTCATAGAAATGGTCTTATTTAAGTTATTAGGACTAATTAGAAACAAACCTAAGCTACCGGCCAAGTTTTCATAATTAATAATAAGTCTCCTTGTCATTACGGAGGAGCTGACGGGTCCCATGAAAATGGTACCTAACGTGGGGCACATATTTCCCACACAAGCCCTGAGAAAGCTATAAAAAAGGTTCCAAATACACAAACGTGGCTTCCTAGTCCTGCAGTCTCTCATGCAGGCTGCAGTACAAAGACATCTCTCAGCCACTACTCGCAGGTTTGAGCTGCCAGTGCCATGAGCTAAGCCACACAGCAGTTTAAGATTTAGCTCATGCAGACAGAAAAGGTAACAGTATACAGTACACAGAAAAGCAGGTTCAGGGGCTGGAGAGATGGCTCAGCGGTTAAGAGCATTGCCTGCTCTTCTAAGGTCCTGAGTTCAATTCCCAGCAACTACATGGTAGCTCACAACCATCTGTAATGAGATCTGGTGCCCTCTTCTGGCCTGTAGACGTACACACAGACAGAATACTGAGAATATTGTATACATAATAAATAAATATTTAAAAAAAATTTGTAGGCTTAAAAAGAAAAGAATGGGTATAGATGGTCATAGAAAAAATAGTCTTATAAATCATAAGACAAAGTCCTTAAAAAGAAAATAAAATAACATAAAAAGGATAAGTCATGTAGAGACAGGAAATACACAGGGAGTCTGGATCCTGATTGATTGTTATCTTTAAATGTTTTGATTGTTGATGAGCAAAGAATAGCTGCTGAGAGACATTGTAATATAAAAACTACTAAATTAGGGCTGGAGAGATGGCTCAGAGGTTAAGAGCACTGACTGCTCTTCGAGAAGTCCTAAGTTCAATTTCCAGCACCCACATGGTGGCTCACAGCCATCTGTAATGAGATCTGGTGCCCTCTTCTAGCATGCAAGCATATAGACAGACTGAACACTGTGGACATAATAAATAAATAAATCTTAAAAAAAAAACCCTACTAAATTAAACCAACCTGTATATTTTTAAAATGTCTTAACTTCAAAATGGAAGTAAAAAAGTATGTTACATTGGGGAAGAGGTTATGCTTTTGCTTCCAAAGGAAATGAAAGGCTGTGGATTCATTCAAGGTTGATGGAGATCAGAGTTGATCAGGAAAGACTCCCTGAAAATCCTGGCTACAGACATAAAGAACTAAACCTAAAATAACTACAAGACAGGTGATGTATATTTTACCTGTTTGAACATAAGACAAAAATCATCTTTGGCTGGCTTGTGTACAACACACACTCCACACTTATCTGTTAACGCAGAAGATATGTATGTTACCTTTGAAAGTTTGTATGTTTCAGAGCGAGGGGACCAGACACCAAGGAAAATGGGTGGCCCAGGTGGTACAACCTCACTGACTACTACTCCAGTCAAACTTTATATAAACTTCATTTTCCCATGACACTGAGACTAGACAATAGCAGCTCTCCCAGGACTTGACCATTATCCCAATTTTCTCAGGGTCCCCTAAAAGATACCAGTGCCCCCAGAAAACAGGAAGCAGTCTAGAGAACACAACACTCACATTCCCAAGAGATGGGGTGGATGGTTTTTGGCCATTCAGTGGGTTATGGATATTTGCCATTGTTTAGGGGGTTAAGTATTGGTCATGGTCAGGAAAAAAAAAAGCTGAACAGAGGAGATTCGATTCAAGGATCTTTTTCTGAAGAGAAAAAGGGGGGATATAATATAGAAATGGTAGGATAAGAGGGTGGATGGTTGAGTCTACTTTTGAACAATCACTAATTTCAAATATTTTACATTGGTATGGAATTTTGTATGTTGATATAAATTTAAGAATATTTTTGCTGAGCTGGGCAGTGGTGGCACACGCCTTTAATCCCAGCACTCGGGAGGCAGAGGCAGGCAGATCTCTGTGAGTTCGAGACCAGCCTGGTCTACAAGAGCTAGTTAAAAACCAAAAAAAAAAAAAAAAAAAAGAATATTTTTGCTATACTGTATAAATGTTTCTACTCTTGTTTAAGTTATTTTTGTATATTGATACAAATTTAAGGTTATTTTTGCTAAAACATACTGTACATATGTTTCTACTCTTTTTTTATTTATTTTATACACATTTGTGTTTTTGCCTTCATATATGTCTGTGTGAGGGTATTGGATCCCATAGAACTGGAGTCACAGACAGTTGTGAGCTGCCATGTGGGTGCTGGGAATCGAACCCTGGTCCTCTGGAAGAGCAGTCAGTGCTCTTAACCGCTGAGTCATCTCTTCAGCCCCATGTTTCTACTCTTGTTTAAGGTACTATACCTATACAGCTCATTTAGCAATATAATGTAAATTTCTAGTCCTTGAAAGCGATTAATACAAACCATTTAGGTTAATAAAGAAATTCATACTAGTAGTTAGTCACCTATAACAATCAAACAGAGTCATGTTAGGTATATTTTTAAGGTCAAGCATATATTGTAGATAGACAGGTGGTCTTCAAACATGTCAGAGATCTACAGAATATGCCATTTAAAAATGTTTTGATAATATAAGGCTTTTCATGACAATGAGACACATCTGCTCCTGGCAGCACCAATTTAATTTTTTTTTTTTTTAAAAAAAAAAAAAAGGACAATGGGCATTGAAGAAACTCCATATGGAATTTGCTTTCTGGGGCTGAGAGATGGCTCAGAGGTTAAGAGCACTGCCTGCTCTTCCAAAGGTCCTGAGTTCAATTCCCAGCAACCACATGGTGGCTCACAACCATCTGTAATGAGATCTGGTGCCTCTTCTGGCCTGCAGGCAGACACGCAGACAGAATACTGTATACTTAATAAATAAATAAATATTAAAAAAAAGAATTTGCTTTCTTTATCGCTGGGCAAAGAAACTGCCCTTGCCTCAACTGCTGAAGTATGCTGTTCAAATTGCATAAGCAGGACATAAAGGAAAGCATCTGCCAAACCTTGTCAAGACAAGGTAGGAAAATCTTTCAAAATTGCTGCTTCCCAGAAACGTCTGTCAGACATTCCAAGCCTGTAGGCTGAAGTGAATAGCTCACTATTACAGAGGAACCTTGGGTGACTGTCCAGGCAGTGGCTGTCTCTGTCATGTCTAAAGTTTTGAAAGTTGTTTGCTCTGCACTTCCAGTTATTATTATTATTACCTATTATTCAGGTAATATGATATCCTTCTGGGGTCCTCGATGGAGTTCAAGACTAGACAGTTATAGTTTTCCTTGGTTATGATAGAAAGTAAATTAGGTATAGAGCTTTGGATTCATCAGGATAGAATAAATAACAGAGCATTTTCTCCAAATATGTCAAATACAAATGGACTGGACATTGTAACTGTTATTCTTACCTGATAATTGTTCTTATTGTATATTTTTATTATAGGCAAAACCTTTGCTTTTTATTTAGACACAAAGGGGGAAAGGTTGTGGACTATTTCTTTACACTGTATGAAGATGCATAGCTGTGATTGGTTTAATAAAAGGCTAAATGGCCAATAGCTAGGTAGGATTTCCGGGGCAGAGGGACCGCTGGGAAGAAGGAGTCATCGACAGCTAAGCAGAGAGGCAGCAAGGCATGCAGGAAGACAGGTAAAAGCCAAGAGTCATATAGCAGCATGTAAGTTAATAGAAATGGATTAATTTAAGTTATAAGAGCTAGTTAGAAACAAGCCTAAACTATAGCTGAGCTTTCCTAATTAATAAATCTCTATGTCATTATCAGGGAGCCGAGGTTCCTGATTAAAAAAAAAAAGTCCAGCTGGGCAATGGTGGCGCAGCCTTTAATCCCAGCACTCGGGAGGCAGAGGCAGGCGGATCTCTGTGAGTTCGAGGCCAGCCTGGTCTACAGACTGAGTTCCAGGACAGGCTCCAAAGCTACAGAGAAACGCTGTTTTGGAGAAACAGAAAAAGTAAAAGGAAAAATGAAGAAACTCCACAAAGTTGTTTTCTGACCTATACACTGATGCCACACTGGCAGGTAGGCAGGCACACAAACACACACACTAAAAATAAACAAAACTTTATAAAGAGAACTTAGAAACGGAAGAGAGGAGAAGGAAGATACACCTGAAGCTCAAGGAAGTCATGGGCTGGGATAACCTTGGAGAACTGGAAGCAGCCGAGTGAGGCTCTCGCTCCCAACAGCACAGTAAGGTCTCTGTCTTCACTCTGTTTTGCTCTCCCTGTCACACACTGCTTTCTGGATCTACGGGACGCCAACGTTTGCCTCATTATCACCATGATATCCACTCTCCTTCCTGATTAGGATACTTTTCTTTCTTTCTTTTTTTTTTTTTTTGATTTTTTTTCGAGACAGGGTTTCTCTATGGTTTTGGTTCCTGTCCTGGAACTAGCTCTTGTAGACCAGGCTGGTCTTGAATTCACAGAGATCCGCCTGCCTCTGCCTCCCAAGTGCTGGGATTAAAGGCGTGCACCACCACTGCCCGGCTAGGATACTTTTCCCTACTCCTGGCAGAGCCATCACCCTAAAACACCAGTTCATGAGAACTTCTCAGATGTTCAATCCAGTTTAGTTTCTGAGACAGTCTCGCTAGCCCAAGCTAGCCTGAAACTCATCCAACCCTCCTGCCTTGTCTCTTCATGTTCTTGTTCTATCTCAGCCGTGGCTCCCTCTTTAAGTGTTTATCATCTACCAAAACGTTGGTTTCACAAAAGCAGGGACTTGTCGGTCTTCTTTCCTATCCTGTCCTCAGTACCTAAAACAGGACTCAGCATGGACTCAGGCATTCAATATTGGTTGTGTAAACCCGAGTAGTCATTTTTTTTTGGGGGGGGGCACCATTAATCCAACTTTAGATAAATAGGATACCACAGAATGTCCACTTGGCAGCCGGAGAAGTATGAGGTAATTTGGAGGGTAGATAGTAGGTACTAAATAAATAGTTGTTGAATTTGGGACTGGAGCTAAAAGACACTCATTGAGGTATTTCCATTGGACACTCTGGTCCTGCCGGAGGGGTAGCTCAGCTGGTAGAATATGAGCTCAGCATGCACAAATTCAATCCCCCACACAACATAAACCAAGCATGATGATACGTCACAACGATGCCTGTAGTCCCAGCATTTGGGAAGTGGTGGAGACAGAAAGATCAGAATTTCCAGGCCAGAGAGGCCTACAGGAGACCTCGACTCTAAAACAAAACACTCTGACCTCTGTGACCTCTGTCCACTGATTTAGGGAACGTAGGTCTGGAGGCGGAGAAGCCCTTGGGGGCTATGAGAATAGCTCAGGCGGTTCCTTTCTGACGACGTCAGGTCTCCTCTGAAACCTTTGTCCCATGACCTGTGCAGCACAACATCCATGTTCCAAAGACTCCGGAGAACACTTGAAAAGCATCTTTTAGGACGGTGACACCCATCCCAGGAAAGGACTTTGCCTTTCTGGCTTTCGTCAAGGACTATAATCCGTCCTCTGCTGCCAACAGAGCTAAGGAATATGAGTTTTATGATCATTAGAGCTTATAGCTTAATTAAGCTAATTAGCATCTCTGATTACTGCTGAGGATGGAATATGGGAGATGGAACTGACGGGGGGGGGGGGATAGGGAGAGCAAACAAGGGACGATGAGAAGGGGAGAGGCCACGACCCTTCTCTCTAGTCCCTTCCTTGGCTGCCCAGGTCTTACACCTATTTTATTTTATTGTTTGATTCTGAGCCAGGGTTTACTATACAGCAGTTATCACAGCCTCTGGAGCGCTGGGATTCCAGGCGTCTGCCACCACACCCTGCTCAAGAATGAATCAGGTTAGAATCCGAACTCTCCGGTGAGTCATTTGATTCATTGAACCACATGAGTGTTTTTAAAGCTGGGACCGAACCTAGGGCCTTAAGATCTCAAGCAGGAGCCAGGCAGTGGTGGTGCACGCCTTTAATCCCAGCGCTCGGGAGGCAGAGGCAGGCGGATCTCTGTGAGTTCGAGGCCAGCCTGGTCTACAGAGCAAGTTCCAGGACAGGCTCCAAAGTTACAGAGAAACCCTGTCTCGAAAAACAAAAACAAAACGATCTCAAAGCAAGGCAGCTACTGAGCTATACACACTAGCTCAACGTCATCAATGAATAAGTACCTAATCACAGAGTGGATTTTAAGTAAGTTTATATAAGCAAGTGTACATAGCAAACTGCATGATACAGAATAAGAACTCCGTAATATCAGCTCACATAAAGTAATACTCAGAAACTAAGTTTATGTCTGGTGACGCGGGTGGGAGAGGCAGTTCCAGCTACTCAGGAGACTGAGATGAAAAGCTAAAAGCCCTACTCAGACTACAGAGTAAGTTCAAGGCTAGCATGGGGAATTTTGTTGAGACCCTGTCCTCCACCTACCCCCCCCCCCAAAAAAAAGTGAAAAAAAGAAATACATTGGATGTTGGGAAAAATTATACTTTTAAGCCAAGAACTCACAAATTCTAGTGATTTCCACGGTTAGTGAAGCGCAGTTATGTACCTTCCACCCAAAGTAGAAATACCTGTGTCAGGTACAGACATGTAGTAGCATCAAGATCATGAATTTGCCTCTGAGAAACAAGGAGGTGGCTAGAAACATTTGAGTCAGGGGCATCTGTGGGTTGGAACACTGGACATGGGGTCTTCTGGGGCAATCTATTCATTTTGCTCCTGGACTTGAAGCGGTTGGAGCAAACTGTTGGATCCTGGGGCCTTAAGACCCGGAACAAGTCCAAACTTGTCGCTCCAACACGACCCTGAGGCTACAACCTGGGCTAGTCCAGACACTGCAAGGCTGGAAGGGTGGGGTCCCTACCGTAGCCCTACCCCCAGCTGTTTGTGACTCACCCGTCCCTTCCCTCCCCTGGTTTCCCGACTACCTCTACCAACCTAGGGTGAGACCGGAAGAAATCGACTTGGAGGGAGGGAAGGAATCCTACAACATCCTGGGTTCAGAAAGACAGTACCCCCAAGTCTCGGTGCCTCTCATTCTCTCGATCTAACTTTAAACATCGAATACTAAAATTGCAGTTATGATCAAAGAGCTAAGGTTTCCACCACCGGCACTGACATTTAAAGTTTCCTTTTCACCTCATTGCTCCCTTCCAAGTTCACCATTAGTCGAGAACTAGAGGTGTCTCTAGGACATTCAGGATGTCCTAGACACTTCACAGAGCAAGCACGCACGCACTCCCAGTTTCAGCGCCAGGCCTGATGAGCTGGACTTAACCATATCAGGGATGGTGCCCCCTGTTGCACAGGGTTGACGGTCCATTCTCTCCTCCCCATCCCTGTGCTAGCCAAGGGGAATTTTTGTTGTTGCTGAAGCATCAGAATTCATTAAATCAACCACAAACATCAGGGATGATTGTTAGCCTGGGAGGGGGGCACGTTATGTTCCTGTACGGAGGGTGTCGTAGCTACTAGTACAGGAGGAAGTTACGATGTTGGCATAGCTGGGGGGATGAGGGCTTGTGTTTTCTGAAGGTGGAGAGATGGCCAATAATATTTGCTTTTCTTCCTCGATAATTAGGTTCATTTATCGTATTTAAAGCTGAAAAGAAGGATTCCCACCCAGTCTTCTCAGAAACTTCCCCGCGACAGGTGTGGAAAGGGTGGGAGGCCACAGAAGAACCCTTCTTCACCCGTGTGGCGGTACCGTGGCTTTCATAAGGGACCTTTTTTCCGAGTTCCCAGGAGTTGAGTTTCCCCAGCTCTCGGAGTAACCAAGCGGGATGGGGGATAAGGTCTGGGGGAAACGCCGCTTACCCGGGTCTTGCGCAGCCCTCTGGCAGCTCCCGCGATCCAGCGCAAACCCTTCCAGCAGCCGGTTCCAGCTGTCAACGCTTCCTCCTCCGGACGCCGCAGCCCTCACCCAGCCGGCGGAGCGGCCCCTTCCGCGGCCCTTCTGCCCGGGTGCGAAAGTGTGCGGAGTGGGGCGGGGCTCGCGGGGCTCTACCTTGCCCCGGGAGAGCTCACCGTCGGAGCTGGAGCGAAGGAGCCCGAGCTGGGCTGGAGGGGACGGGCTAGGCAGACGCGGCCCGGCCGCCGCGGGGCCGCCCAGCTCCTGACGACACACTGCCCGCCCCCCACCTAGCCTGCCCTCCCGCCGCTCCCTAGACCACCCGCTGTTGCCAGCTTTCCAACACGACCTTCTCCTGGGCTCCAGAGTATCTCAGGGCTCTCCGGTCTGTGCCACTTTCTCCACTCCTACGCTTCTGTCTTCCCACGCGTGGGGCAGCTCTACTTTGAATTTTCTCCTTTTTTTCCCCTAATTACTCACAGTCTCTCCCATTATCTCTCCCCTGGGTGGCCAAGGGTAGGGGTCAGGGTGCTGACTGGAGCTACCCAGCAACTGGTCAGCAATTGGTCTGCCCTCCAGTGTCCACAACGTCATCCTGGACGCACCTGCCCAACTCAGTGACTCTACACTCAGGAGAACCCTGAGGGGAAAGGCCAGAGCTACACACTTCACGACTTAAGGCCTAGGTACATCTGCCTCTCCACATAGCTCCACATTGTTTGACTCTGTCTGAGACAATTCCTCCGGGTTCCTCAGCACCTTTCCGGCTTGTCTATGCACACTTCTTTCTATCAAAATCCATATCCTTCCCTTAAGACTAGGGTGGGCGTTTGGATGTCTAGAGCACCATTGATTGTCTGTGTTCACCTTTTCTCCATACCCAAGCCTGGCACATTACTCTCTGGCCTTGGCAGATGGCACAGAAGGCTCTGAAGCCTTTCAGTTCCTACCCGTACTCTGGAGTTGTCAGGATTCTTGGGGCAGCTTGGATGGTGTGAGACTGGGAGAGTAAGGGAGAAGAGACCAAGGCCTCGGGATTTACTGGTAGCAACTGGGGACCCAGGCATCCTGACTAACTCCCTCCTACCCTTCTCTGAAGTCAACAGCCTTGGGTTCTTGGAACTGCCTCCTCATATCTGGGAGTAGAGAGCTGTGGGAGGAGACTCTGCTAGTTGGAACCGTGTGTATCTGTCTGAGTGTGTTGTGTACACACCCACACCTCATATATATAAATATTTGGGCCCAGTGAGGGTCAGAGGGGGGGAAAAAAAAAGAATACATTGGGCCCTCTAGTGGAAACAGAGAACTAAGCAGCTCTTAAATATTTGGAGACAAGCTTGTTGAAACAACTTCTCTCTAGAGTAAATGGGGTTTGTGTTATTGTGACTATTATTAATTTTAACCGTAGCTCTAGACCAGATCTGTCTCTGTGCCAGGTCTTCAGATCAGGCATTGGAGAATGATCTGTCTCTGTTCCGGATCTTTTTTTGTTGTTGTTGTTTGTTTTGCATCCGAGTTCTTCATTGTCTGCTTTTCCTTTTCTCTGTCTTCCACCGTCATTGTCACCAGCACGCCGCAGATGAACTTCAGTGTCTGGAACATGCTTTCCCAGAGCTCTACCAATGACTCACACCCCCATGCCACACTGTGTAGCCCTGGCTGTCCTGGAACTCGCTCTGTAGGCCAGGCTGGCCTTGAACTCACAGAGATCCCCCTGCCTCTGTCTCCCGACTGTGCTACCAATGCCCCAATTCTCCACTGCTGGTAAAGCTTCATCTTCCGTATTTTACAGTCCCCTCATTCACAGTCAACAAACTTTTATTTTATTTTTTTCTCTGAGACAAGATTTCAGTGTGTATGTAGCCTAGGCTACCCTTGAATTTGCTATCCTGCATCAGCCTCTCAAGTTTACTGGGAATTACTGGGGTACGCCACCCCTCTTGGCGTCAACAAACACTTTCATTCTTAGTTAGGATAAGCAAAAACATAGACTGGCCAGGGTGGTGGCTCACGCCTTTAATCCCAGCACTCGGGAGGCAGAGGCAGGTGGATCCCTGTGAGCTCGAGGCTAGCCTAGTCTACAAGAGCTAGTGTGCCAGGGCAGGTTCCAAAGCTACAGTGAAACCCTGTCTCGGAAACAAAACAAAACATAGATTGAACCAAGCAGATAGACATATGTGAAACTCTCCAACTCTTGGTCACTCTAAACAAAGTCTGCTTAAAAGGTACAATGTCCCAGACTACTCTCCCAGTCAGTCCTTACATAAAAATACTCCTATATTTAAAAAACATCCGTTGGAATATGGCTTCTCTAATGCAGAGTAAGAGGATATCAGTCTTATTCCAGCCATCCTGTACCTTTAGGATCTTTGCTTCATCATCATCATAGCCCAAGTCAGCTCTTGCTGGAGGTGGGAGAGCGGGCACAGAACAGCGCCACGGAGACGTCTAATGCCTACAGTTCCAGGTGCTCAGGTCTTTAATCAACCACATCATAAAAGTCAGAAAGAAAGAGACCACAAAGAACAAAGGGAAAGGAAAAAACAAGCCTGTTTTCCCAGCCTCTTCTTCCTTCTCTGGGTGGGGGTACACATCCGGGGCCCAGGGCTGGGTCCGAGGCTAGTCGGCTAAACAGACAATTGAGTTTCACTTCCTGCCAACCTTCAGAGATGGGGGCAGGATGTCTGATGGGTACAGTGATGGGGAGTGTCCAGGGTTAGAGAGTAAACAGGTCACATTCGGGTTTCCCCTCCTTGAGCAGGTCCATTAAAACTTGTTAGAAACCACTTGAAATAGTTCAATCTAGAGTCATGCACCCCACTAAGTTTTAGAGGCACCATTCCGTATTCGCACGCTCTTTTCCCCATTGAGGAAAGGGTCCTAGATGGGCAGGGCTGAAGAAGAGGTGTGGGCTGGCAGCTGGGGTGTCGTTCCCTCGCTAGAATGGTTGTCTAGCGCATGCTAGTAGACTCCAGGCTGCATGCCCAGCACCCCTGTGCACACCACACACTTCACAAAGTGAGGGATTAGAAGTATTGCCAGGCGGTGGTGGCGCCAGCTTTTAATCCTGGCACTCAGGAGGCAGAGGGTCTCTGTGAGTTTAAGGCCAGCCTGGTCTACAGAGCGAGTTCCAGGGCAGCAGGGCTACACAGAGAAATCCTGTTTCAACATTCTCCCGCAGGAAAAAAAAAATTATTAGAATATTTGAAATAACATGGAGTACATGGAAATAATTTAAAAGTGACTAAAAGTGACTTTGAGACTTGTGTTGGACCCTAGAGAGAGAAACCAGAACTCGGAGAATTGTAAAGAAGACAATGTATAGACTTACAAAACCTTCTAAGGCTGAATTCAATTAAGGTCCTTGTCAACCTGTTTTTGATTTTTTTTTTTTCTTTTTGGTAGGATTTCTAATTGTAGCTCTGGTTGTCCTGAAACTCGCTCTGTAGATCAGGCTGGCCTCGAATTCATAGAGATCTGTCTGTCTCTACCTCCGGAGTGCTGGCATTAAAGGCGTCCGGCTCCCTTTCTTTTTCTTTTCTTTTTCTTTTCTTTTTCTTTTCTTTTTCTTTTTTTTTTCTATTTTCCCCTTCTCAATTCTAGAGGCCCTGTCGTACATTCACCGAAGCCAGAGGAGGGCAATAGAGGAAGGTGAAAGAGTTAAGGAAAGAGCTAAATTGGTCCGGAGGTTAGAATCGGACACCTGAGGAGAGGAGGTTTACACCTTCCGGGCTGCAGGGCAAACAAGTTTAACAGGATTTAGCCCCGAAGGAACTAAGTTGTTGAAGGCGGGAGTGAGGAGTTGGGGGGTGTGGGGCACGGGGGACGTGGACACGACACTCGGGGCTCGTTTGAAGAACGAGGCACCCAACGGGGCGCAGCCTAACAAAGGGAGTGGCTACACGTGTCCCTAGAGTGGGAAGAGTGGCCCCGCTCGCGGTCGCCAAAGCTAATCCGGACACTTGGGCGCGGCTAATTAGAATACTGGCTGGGTCCGCCCAAATGCCTTCACCCTGTGGCCTCTGACCCGGGAGGATCCGCTGCTGGGCGGCTGAGTCTTCGTCGCTGAATCTCGGGGGGCAGAACTGACGAGGGCTGCCTGCCCCACTCCGTCATGGAGACCGCCGGCACCCCTGAGGCTCCGGGGACAGGTGACCGACCCGCAGTGCCCCCCTCTTTGCGCGCCCTTTCCCCAGGTCTCTGTCCAGAGTTCAGCCGGGCTACCGAGAGAAATCGCCGTGCCAGGTCGCCCTGCCCTCCTCCTTAAGTGTTGTCTGGGGTTTTCACATTCGTTCCCAGTCACATTCGTGCGTCCCTTGCAACCCCGGGACTTCTCTGCCCCATGTCAACAGTCGCCCTGGTGTTTGGTGCAGGCCTGGGGCCTCGTGCATTCCTTTCCTGTTTTACCAGCGCCCGGGCGCCTTGGTCCCTGCGAGCACCGGGCTGGTAGGAGTAGAGGGTTTATGTCGGAACTTCTCTTGGAGCCCAGAGTGCTGTCTTATATGCTTCAGGTGTTAAGTAATGGTGCCGGTGGTCGTAAAAGAGTCCACGACTTTATAAACTGCTTTGAGCTGCTTCTACCCTCCCTATCCTCCACCCGGGTCGACGAAATGGTGTACTTTCTCTTTAAGATTAAAATGGTGGCTTGCTATGGATGAGGACTCCACTTCCGGTGGGGAGGGGGCGGGACCCCAGCCCGCTCACGCCGGAAGTGGTTCGGGTTCTCAAGATGGCGACTCCCTATGTAACTGACGAGACCGGCGGTGAGTGCGGGAAGCGCGGAGCCGCTTCTCCCGGGACTCTTGGGTTAGGGGTTCAGACTTGGAGAGGGGTTTGTGCCACGCCCATCCCGGGGCCCCTCCTTTGCCCCGCCCCCGGACCGCCTTCCCCATTCATCCCTGTGGGTTATCACCTGCGCCCCCTTCTGGTCTCGTGTTTTGGGGGGGTCTCCGTTTCCGGTCTCCCAAACCCTGGGGGTCCTTCCATGTCCCCTGCACCGGGACCCTTAGGAGCCTCAGCTGTTTGTAGCTGTAGGAGTCCCATCCCTTCCCAGGGTTCTCCAGCCTTCCGGGCTCCCACACTGTCGGTTCCCTCCAATTCCTGCCCTCTCACCCCCTCCCCCGTTTCTTACTGTTAGACCCGCTCTCCACCCTCCCGTTTCCATTCTGTTTCTCCAAGCCGTGTCTCAGCTAGCTGAAGCTCTCCTTGCTACATAGCGCTTTCCTCACTCTGCCTCATCTTCATTTGTTGGGGGGGGGGTCACTGAAGTCCAGAGGTGCGAAGGGAAAAGGAATTTAACTTTCAACCTGGCTTTTCTCATTGGTGGAGTTTTCCACCTAAAGTGAGAGAAAACAAGCAGGAAAGCATCTACAGGCCTTTCTCTCAACCTCTTTGACAGTTAATAGGACCCCCGTTATTGCTTATAGCTTGAGTAGAATTTTCAGCCCAGCGGTCTGAAGTGTTGAAGTCTGTGTTTGTGTGTGAAACTGAGAATTAGAATTAGTTTTCCTCTTTTTTTTTTTTTTTTTTTTGTCATATTCTAACTGCTTTGCCTTTAGAACAGTGCACAATAGCAGTGTTGGCCTGGAGAAGATCAGATAGTTAGACGAGAGACTTGTGTAAAACGCAGTGCACGCGCCTGGTTAGTATTTTTGTGTCCCTCGCTGTAGTCCTCGTGTGTAGTCAGTGACTCTACTGTTTCACAGAAGTGATCCTTTTTAAGTGTGCAGTGTATGCATGGCGTGTTTAAACTGTGTCATGTATGCCTCTTGGTTTGCTTTCCATGTTTCTTATAGGTAGGCTTCCTACATTATGGTACTTGCTGACAGGTTGGTTTCCTGCTCCCGTTCCCTATCCTTGCATTTCAGAGAGTGATAGCAGCATTTCTCTATGTTCTCTCCTCAGTAGGTCTTTAACTAGCAACTGGGTTTCGGTTTGTTTTTAAGGCAGAATCTCACTCTGTATCCCTGATGGGCTTAGAACTCCCTATGCAGACCAAACTTATCTTGAATGCAGAGAGATCCACCTGCCTCAGCCTCTCAGGTGCTGGGATCAGAGGCATGTACCACCATGCCCAACCTTAAATAGAAATCACCCCCCCACACACACATGGTCTTACTATGTGGCCCTGGCTAGCCTTGAAGGCATAGAGATCTGCCTGCCTCTGCTTCCTAAATTGTGGGAGTAGAGGCGCACACTGCCATGAGGGGCAGCTTGCAGCTTTGGGTGTGTGCCCTATTATTCTTTTGATCCACATAGCCCGCCTGACCCCTGCCCTGCCATCAGAGGTATTGTCTGTCTTCTGTGACTGTGGAGACTACGTTGCTCTTTTGCTCTTCTTCCTACCTCCTACTGTTACTGTGACCCCTGTGTAACGTATTGCCTGTGATTCCAGTGGTTCCTATAAAATTCCCGGAAAGACACAGTGTTCCCATAAATTATGTTTTGTTTTTAGATTTATTTTATGTGTGTGAGTGTTTTGTCTGTGTGTGTGTCTGTGCACCATTTGTGTGTTTGGTGCCCATAGAAATCAGAAGTATCACATCTCCTGGAACTGGAGTTAGAGCTGTAAGACACCGTATTGGTGCTGGGACTCGAACCCAGGTCCTCAGTTCATCTCCATGAGCCACTTTTAATCCCTGAGCCATCTCTCTAGCCCTTTTGTTTTTATTTTTGATGTTGTTATTCTGTCTCTAGCGCCTTGGGAATACTCTGAATCCCTAGTTCCTGAGCACGAGATCATTGACATCCCTTTGTATTTTCAGCTACACCTCAGGATCACTCCTTCCTGGACCTCATCTGTGACACTACTTTCCTTGCAGGTATTCCCCTCACCTTAGCTCCCTTACCAGTCACCATTTGACTGTCTCAAGTCCACAGAGGCAGCTTTTTGCCCTCGTTAGGTTTTCTGGTTCCATGTGTGTGTGGATGTGTGTAGCTGCCTGTGAGCACGTGCATGTGTGGGGACAGGTCCACATGCATGTGGAGGCCAGCTGTTGATGCCAGGTGTCTTCCTCGATCCCTCCCCACCTTATATCTCAGGCAGGATCTTTCCGTGTAACCCAGAGTCTGGTGATTCAGCTAGTCCAGCGAGCCAGTTTACAATGGGGATCCCGTCTCTATCTCCCAAGTGCTGGGATCGTAGGCGTGCCACCAGCCCACAGCATGTATGTGTCCTTATGTAGTGTGGCAAACGCTTTACCCTCTGAGCCATATCCCTAGCCCCTCTTTGATCATTTGTGTTGTTGTTGTTTATTTTTGGCTTCTTGAGGCAAAGTCTTGCGGTGTAGGCTGGCCTTGAACTCCTATTCTTTTTGTTCCCACCTATGCCTGCATTACAGACATTCCGTTCACTACTGTGCTAGACTGTCTTTATCTCAGTGAGAGCCATCAACTCTGTTCTAGGTTTCTGATTTTAGACTCTAACACATTGCTAGAAAAGAAAAAACTTAAGAGTTAGTGAAGTGTTAACTTCTGTCAATATCACAGCTTTTGCCAACTCTTACTTTCTAAATTCTCCCATGGCTATTTCACCAACTTTTTTCCAACCCCCTGTCACTATGTCTTTAATTCTTCCTTCTGTGGCAAAAACCTTCACTTTCTATTTCATTAAAAAAAATTAAAGCCTGTCATTTCTGTTTCTCTCTGAGTCACAGCCAGGTATTTGTTGTTTTCTCCTTCCTACTCTCTCTCCTGCCTTCCATCAAGGTTTCACTGTGTAGCAAGTCCAGTTTGCCTTGGATCTATGGCAGTCCTTGTGCCATAGCCTCGTGAACACTGTTTCTCTGTAGCTTTGCTCCTGTCTGTCCTGGAACTAGCTCTCGTAGACCAGGCTGCCTCTGCCTCCCGAGTGCTGGGATTAAAGGGTGTGCCACCACTGCCCGGCTTGTTTTTTTNGATTTATTTATTTATTATGTATACAACATTCTGCCTCGATGTATGCCCACACGCCAGAGGAGGGCGCCAGATCTCAGTACAGATGGTTGTGAGCCACCATGTGGTTGCTGGGAATTGAACTCAGGACCTCTGGAAGAGCAGCCAGTGCTCTTAACCTCTGAGCCATCTCTCCAGCCCCTGTTTTGTTTTTTTGTTTTTTTTTTTTTTTTTTGAGACAGATTTTTTTTTGGTGTGTGTGTGTGTGTGTGTGTGTGTAAAACAGTCCTGGCTATCCTGGAACTCACAGAGATCTGCCTGACTCTGCCTCCTAAGTGCTAGGATTAAAGGCTTGCACCACTGTGCTTAGCATGTGTTGCCACTGTTAAAATCCTGATTTCTTGAAAATTGGGTTTCACCTGCTGTTTTTAGTTGCTCACGGCTTAATTTGCTGCTCAACTGTAGTTATTATCCTAGCAGCAGCCTCTCTCCAGAGCTGCTCTGTTTTCTAAGGCTGAGTGTCTCAATGTTTGGATACACTGTCCCATTTCATGTTAGCTCTTCTGATCATTCCATTGTTATTTCTGTTATGGATGCCCTTTCTAACTAACTCAGGAGCAATCTTTTCTTTTAAGACTTGACTGGACTTTATTTATTGTGTGACAGTGAGATGGTATAGACTTTCTTTCTCAGAACAGTGGTTGATTCTTAGAACAGTTGAAAAGATGCTATAAAGAATATTTTGGTTTTGGTTTTATGAGACAGGGTCTTTGCCTACTTGTAATACCTAATGCGATGTAAACAGGACATGAATAACTTATACGGTATCATTAGAGAATAATGACATGAAAAAATTTACATATTTCATATGGATTCAGTATTTTTTGTTTTTTCTTTTAAGAGGTAGAAAACTAAGTGTGGTGGCATATGCCTATAACCCCAAGACTGAGGCAAGAGAAGTGGGTGGCAGGAAACCTGGGGCCAGTCTGAGTACAGCAAGATGCTATCTTCAAAAATAAAGGCACTGGGGAGCTATGTCATGGTTAAAAGCACACACCACTCTTGCAGAGAACCCAAGCTCAGTTCCCAGCACACAGGTCAGGCGGCTCCCAAGTACCAGCAACTCCAGCTCCAGGATCCAACACCCTCTTCTGAACTTTGTAGGTTGTAGGTACCTACACACACACACACACACAACTGGGGAGGAGGTTCTTGCTATGCTGCCAGAACTTCTCATTCTCCCCAGTAACCAGGACTGTAGGCACGCATCTTAGAGTTTATTTTCAGTCCGGGGCTGATTGAGTTGAAAGGGGCAAAACCCACAGGTACAAAGGAGTAGATGAGTTATAAACTAAGAGCAGGAAAAGTGTAAACAGCTACCGCGACATGAGAAGACTTGACTTGAAACGGTTCACATAGTATTGAGAGAAAAAATTCATAAAAATGAAAAAAAAAGATAAGCTGGGTGGTGGTGGCGCACGCAACTCGGGAGGCAGAGGCAGGCGGATCTCTGTGAGTTCGAGGCCAGCCTGGTCTACAAGAGCTAGTTCCAGGACAGGAACTAAAAGCTACGGAGAAACCCTGTCTCGAAAAATCCAAAAAAGAAAAAAGAAAAAAATAATAGATTCAGTTTGAATCTATCAATAGGATCCCCTGTCTCGAAAAATCCAAAAAAGAAAAAAGAAAAAAATGATAGATTCAGTTTGAATCTATCAATAGGATCCAGTCAAGATTTATACTGGAGAAGACATAACCAAAAATATGATAGAGGATTTAATGTGATATTCACATGTATACTATTAATTTTCATAATGTATGTATTAGAAAGACGCGGTAATAACATTTATGCATGCATGGATTTTAAATGTTTATTGAGCACTTAGGTTGTGCCAGTCACTATGAACAGGAGCTAGAGATGCATTAACAATTAAAGCAAGCTAATTCTTGCCTGCTTGTAGCAAGGAGATGATAAAAGAAAACACAAACAAACCAATTACAGTATCACATTTAAATGCTGAAAACTGGGAGAATTAAAGCCACTGATGCAAAGAAAACAATTTTGAGAAAAGAGCGAATTCAACTAGATAAGCAATATCATAGAGACGCAGGGACAGAGCAAAAACCAGACATTACAGTACTACCCTCACCTATGGGGACACAGTCCAAGCTGTCCCAGCACTGCAATACCCAGGTGTGGCGCATGCCTTTGATCCCAGCACTTAGGAGGCACACGTAGGCAAATTTCTTGAGTTTGAGGTTAGCCTGGTCCACGGAATGAGTTCTAGGACAGCCAGGGATACAAAGAAAAGCTCTGTGTTGAAAAAAAAATAAACAGAAAGGGAAGGAAGAGGAAGGAGGGAGGAGAAAAGAAAGAGCAAGTAGCACTGAACTTGGCACACAGGTTCAACATCCTTAATCCAAAAATCTAAAGCTGAAATACCCACACCCTGAAAATTTTGGTTGTTGACAAGCTGCTAGAGTGGAGAGTCTAACGCAATCTAACCTCGTCTAGTAGGTCACAACCAAAGCCAAGTACATGAAAGACACTTTGGTTCAGGCCACTCAAGACTACATAGTGAGGCCGTTTTAAAAAATAAATAAAAAACAAGGCGACTTGCTATCGATATCGAGCACAAGTACTCTCTATAAAGAGAGCACTGACCCTGTGCTCACCATGTGCCCCAGACTGGCCCCAGGTTTTCTACCATCCACTTCTCTTCCCCTCAGTCTCCAAACAGTGGAGTTACAGGCATATGCTACCACCACACTTACCTGTATACTCTTTTCTTCCTTACATATAAACCTATGATAATGCTGGGTATAATTTCTACAAAAGAAAAATCTAGTGCCAGTGAGAATGCTGAGTGGGAAAAGCTGCTTGCTGTTGGACCTGACCACCTGTTTGTCCCTGAGTCCATGTAGAAGGAGAGCACTGACACCTGCAAGATGTCCTCTGACCTTCATAATAGAGTGTGCAAGTCCTCTCCCAATAAATACATAAATAACTGTAACGTGCCATGCGCCCGATCATAAGGTCTGCATGCTATGGCCCGGTCTTAAGGTCTGCATGCTATGGCCTGATCTTAAGGTCTGCATGCTATGGCCCGATAGTAAGGTCTGCATGCTATGGCCCGATCTTAAAGTCTGCACGCCATGCGCCCGATCTTAAGGTCTGCATGCCATGCGCCTGATCTTAAGGTCTGCATGCTATGGCCCGATCGTAAGGTCTGCATGCCATGCGCCCGATCTTAAAGTCTGCACGCCATGCGCCCGATCTTAAGGTCTGCATGCCATGCGCCTGATCTTAAGGTCTGCATGCTATGGCCCGATCGTAAGGTCTGCATGCCATGCGCCCGATCATAAGGTCTGCATGCTGTGACCTGATAGTAAGGTCTGCATGCTATGGCCCGATCGTAAGGTCTGCATGCTATGGCCCGATCGTAAGGTCTGCATGCCATGCGCCCGATAGTAAGGTCTGCATGCTATGGCCCAATTGTAAGGTCTGCATGCCATGCGCCCAATAGTAAGGTCTGCATGCCATGCACCCGATAGTAAGGTCCTGGACTGCATCGGAAGTCTGCACATCCTCCACTGCACCAGCACATTCGTCAGCGCAGCCAGACTGAGGTTGCTGTCTACATCTCCTCCTCCCCAGATCTATCTGTTTTATGTATGTGAAAGTTTGTTTGTATGTATGTCATGTCTGTGCATGCGCCTGGTGCCAGTGCAGGTCAAAAGAGGGTGTCACAGATCTCCTGGAACCAGAGACACAGATGGTTGTGAGGAATCAAACCTGTGTCCTCTCCAAGAACAAGTGTTCTTAACCTCTGAGCCAGTTGCCCACTCCTTCCCTTGTCTACATTTGTGTTTCTGATTTTTGTTTCACAGTGAACTTCTCTTTCAAACCCATTTTTGACTTTTCATTTACTTTTTAAATTTGTTGTTTTTT